ACATCGAGATTCACAAAGTGCTGCGCCTGCCACGAAATCTGCACATCCAGATTCACAAAGTGCTGCGCCTGCCACGAAATCTGCACATCGGAGATCCAAAATGAGCAAATTGCACGAGGCTTTCGCAAATTTTCAACTGCGTTTCAGAAATGCTGCGCCTGCCACGAAATCATGCCTGCAGGTCATACGAAATGCTGCACTGGCCACGCAAAAGCATCCTCAAGTTCAAATTCCAAAAATGCGACCCCTCTCACGAATTCAGCCGTTTCACCTCAAAATATCGCATCCATGGTGCGGATTCCCTGCGCCTGCCATGTGAAACGCAATCCTGCGAATGACACACGCCTGCCAACGTTTTTGCAACGTCCACAAAACACTGCGCCTGCCACGAAATTTGCAAAGTCTCCGATTCCTTGCACCTGCCACGAAAAGTGACCTTCTCGAGGCTCCAATAACCCCCGCCCCCCCCCTAGGGGTCGTGGGTCAACCCACAACCAGCAGCCACAGGCGGATCACCTTTCAGGCAGCTACAAACCAGCAGCCACAGGAGAACAGCAGCAGCATGAACAACAACACACGCAAAACAGCAGCAAACCAGCGGCCGCAGCAGTATCCAACCAGGGACACTCGCAGCAGCAGCAGCATCAGCAGCAACTCAAGCACCAGCAAAGCAGTAGGAAAGCAACAGCCAAGCAGCAGCACCAAGTACCAGCGGCAACAGCAGCAGCAGAAGCAGCAGCAAAGCACCAGCAGCAACAGCAGCAGCAACACCACAGCAAAGAAAAGCTTTGGCACAAATCCAGTCCCACCAAGCTACAGGGTGGATTTGAACCGAGGTGCTTCACAAAACCATCGTAGGCAGGAAGAGGGTAGTTTTGCGGAAGGGGGTGGCTACCCCTGGTGGGCACGTTGGGTCGTTGGGTTAGAAAAGTGTGTAGCAGGGTTCAAAAAGAAGGCAACGAGGTTAAAAAAGTAGGTTGGAGGGTTAAAAAAGCATGATTTACGGGTTGAAAAAAAGAATCCCAACGGGTTCATTTAATAGTCTTGGTTACGCTACACATTTTTCTGACCCGGGGTTAGAATAGCGACTATGGTGTTTAAAAGCAAAAAGGTCAGGGTTAGAAAAAAGAATATCAGTGGGTTCCAGCCCCTTTGGTGAGGGGTCACCTTTCTGAAATGGCCTCCAAGGGGCCTTTTTCAGCTACCGTGTCCTCCCCCTGATGCCCATGGGATCCGTCCGTTACAGGACACCGGATCCGTCCCAAGCCCCAGCGGCTCGAAGCTGTCACCGGGGAAGTTCACGGTGATGGGCGTACCTGGACGACACGTGAGGTGCCGGCGAAACGGTGGCAGGTGCGGGCAGGAGTGGTGGCTGACCGGTCCCAATGCCGGCCAATGACTGAACATCCACCCGTTCTTTCTAAGGTCCTGGATCTAGGGGTGTCTGCACGTGTGGCACTTTCTACAGCACGGATTGGTCCAGTGATTTTCCTCCCGCCCCGCTGGTCCCAGAGCTCGTGGACCAAGTGGTTCTTGCTCGTGGACAACCGGGCGCTGGCTGGATGTCTCCCTGTCTTGGGGCCAGCCCTTTCATCTTAGTGGCGAACTTTGGCCCATATACCATCATTGTCAGCACGTACAACGAAAAGGACATCATCTCATCTCATCGGACGATTCCCGTTGTGATCTTCCAATGTAGTGTACACCTGCCTTCAATGCACAAAAAAAGAAACAACCAACCCCAACCATGAGCAAAGACCCTCAACAAACACACCTCGCTCCGGGGTTCTTCGCACCTGTGGCAAAGTTCTCGCTGTTGATCGTGAAGAACGTGTTCCTTAGAAGCGGACGCGTGTGCACGAAGCGAGGCATCGTGGTTTCCCAACGGGTCCAGTCCGAGCCAGTAACACCTGGTCCTTGACCTTTCTCTTTTGATCAACTTCAATATAATGAGGTCTGTGTAGCACATCTCCCTTTAACGAGTGTCCCGCAATGTCCGGCCAAAAAACGACGCCAGCGACGCGCCCCAAAAACAGGGTGGCCCGAAAACGCCAAGGGCAAGGGCAAAATACCAGATCCGACAACACCATGAATGGAATTGGGATGTTCACGTATTATCCAAATATATCTATCTATATCTATCTATCTATCCATCTATCTATCAACTCTAATACAGTAATCTAATCTGATCTGTATATATACTATAAGTCTAGTCAAGTCTTGTCTAGTCTTAGACTCTAGTCTATCTATCACATGTTCTTTGCTGGGACCAACCTAGGCAATTTCACCTTTGACCAGGAGGCACGTAAGAGGAGTCTGGGATGAACCATTCCAGCTTGAAGTCCTGAAGGTCGCGGCACGCCCAGCCACCACGTGGATATCTTAAAAACACCCGATCACTGGCAGACCGGGTCTATTTCCCTTCTTCCAGGAGGTGTTGACCCTGGAAATTTGGGTGGGAGGTCTCCCCATTTAATCACACATCCAAAAGACGGACAAAAACACAGCAGGAAAAACATAAACCAAACGACAGCCCTAAAAACGTCTAACTCAGATCGAAGTCGCACAAACGACCTGGGAGGTCCACGACCAGGGACACCATCTACAGGCTACAGGCACTACCTCAGCTAGGTCTTTGGCGTTCGAACTCCATGTCCTTCGTCCATGTCCCTGTCTGCTGTTTCCCCATCGCCCGCGCGTGGCGCGCGCGCACGTCGTGTCCCGCGCCACACGTTCCTTGTAGATCTGCGTGGTGCCGAAGATCCCGACGCCGGTGAGGATGGCGAAGAGCAGGAAGGTCAAGGCCTGGTCGTTCCGCTGTCAAGGTATCTACGTTTGTCTGGAGCTGAACTGGCCAAAACGTCCAAAAGCCAAGTCAGTGCCCGGGGACACTGCCAAGCACCGTGATTTGCAAGGCAAAGGGTCTTCACTCTTCACTCACCGTTTTCCTCACCAAGTGTCTCTCGACACACAGGTCGAACCGGTGAAGCTCAGCGGCACGCCGCGCGGGCGACACAAAAGGAAAAACTCAAAAAGGACAGGAGCACACTTTGGGCCACGAAAAGCAGGCGACACCTGGGAAGCAAATGGTCACTTCTCCGTTTCCAAAAGCCATCCAATAGTCGTCGTGATCCTTTTGGCAGGATCCGCTGAGGCCTTCGACCGGGAAATGCTCTGCTTGGTATTGCACAGAGGTGTCATCGTCACAGGGCACCTCTGCGGCGAGGCCGTTGCTGCTGCTGGGGCACAGATTGTTCTTCACATACATGGCGTATATCTTCTGTTCACTCGGGATCTTGATAATCACCCCGATGTACTCTAAAGACATCTTTAGGTCCAAGATGCGACTTCTATCCATTTCCAAATGGCACTGAACGATGCCAGTCCCAACAAGTTTGCCGCGGATTTTGTCCGGTGCTCCAGCAATTGCCTTTGGCCAAGGTCGACTGTTTGTGATGTTGATGCTCACCACATTTGCCCCCCTGGCATCTTTTCAACACATTGGCCCAACAAAGTTTCACAATTTCGTGGATCTTCGATTTGCCAAAATGGTGATTCTTGAATCGAATGGACTCCACTGTGTCCTTCATCAGCGGAAGCTGCCATGAGAACTCGCAAGGGGTCTGAGGACTTTTGCTCCAATCCTCATCGGCCATGGCTGCAAACCGTGGCCGCTCTGAAGGGCTCCAGCGGAAGGAATACTCGCCACGTGCAGGAACATCTTGCCATAGCTCGACCCCTTTGTCAGTTGCCGTTGTGGCAATTGCACCGTCGACTTGCAGGGTGCGTCGCCTCTTGATGTGCAAGATAAGCTCGTGTAATCTTGTTCAACTCCTGTGACGATGGTGGTCTTCTCCCAATTCACCAAGCTCTTGTAGCTAGAGTCATAGAAAAGAGCTTCACTCTAACCAGGGCTTGCGAAGCATGCAGTGTGATTGGGATAATTCTCACTTGTCATCGCCCAACCACCTGTGTAAGCACAATACGCCTTTTGGGTGTCCGTCACCAAAATCATCAAGTAGGAGGTCTGTCCTCCCAAGCATTTGGCATAGGCAGCGTTGAACCTTTCAGCACATGTGGGCGCCAACTGCTGAGCGGGCGTTGCACCTGAATGGGACGGGCCTGGGGCTAAACGCTCTGGATACGCATGCGGCATGGGATGCCTCGGAGTACACCCGGACCTCGAAACTTCCTCACAACTGTGAAGACCTATGGCCCCAAATTCTAACATGGATGTGGCAGAACGCTTTCGAACATGTGGCAGAACGCATCGTCTTCAAGTCTCAAAAAATGCAGGGCCATGCTACCCATGTCTTCACCGCAATGATAATACATTCCCTAGTAATACATTCCCTTGAATCACTTCTCTTATACCCTCCAACTAATTCACATATAGTTAGTTCCTTCAAAGGATTCCACTGGAGCTCAGCGCTCACCAGAGCTTAGCGCCCGGCCTGGCCCAGCGGCTTGGTCGTTTGCTCTGTGAAGGTCCGGAGGCCTTCGACGGAAGCGTGAGGTGGTGGAGGTGTCGCGGTGGTTCGCGAGGGTTTGGAAAGGCTGGAAAAAAGAAAAGACAGACCATCCATGGGACTAAAAATCCAGTTACCTACATGGATGGGCCATAAATGGAGATTATATAATATATAATCAATGGGCCGGGTGAACATGTATGTAACTAATCCAACTCCTAGGGCTCCAGGCGTACCAAGTCATACCTTCTTTTCGGTTCGGTGGGACTGGGGCAGGACTGGAGGGTCTAGGGAAAAACTTTCTTTGGGAGTGGCATCTACAGTATCAGTAATTATGTATAGTTATATAATATATATAATATGTATACAATATGTATGTTCGTATATGTACGTATACACCCTGATCAGCTGGGAGTGGTTGAATGCATGTGCTTTGTTTCTTGTGTAATATTCCTTGCGTGGGGTGTCTGGACAGCAGGGACTGTGAGTATCGTGAATATAGGTGTTCATATAGCCATGAAAACCAGTCCTTTTCCAAAAGAGTTTGGGTAATCACGCTTTTGAGTCGAAACGTCCTCCATTCATGTACATTTTAATGTCTATAAGCCTTAGCATCGAAGAGTGGCGAGTGGACTCGAAACCAAACGAAGGGTGGGTGTTTGGCCGATGGGTTTGGCCCATGTCCTGGGATCGTTCGCTGCTTTTGGAGCACCGAACCGGGACGGCCTGGGACGGCCTTCACCGTGGGACATACCGTCGAGTTCTCCGAACCGTGAGCACCGTCGAGTTCGGTGGCGGGACATCCGGACATCCGGCCCCTCGAAGCTCCAGAGAAAGCGCTTGGGAATACTGCTGGGAACTGCTGGGAACAAGTCGTTTGCGTAAATTCAGGAGTCTCACTCTGTCCATCTCCTTCTCAAAGAAAGGGTTGCCATTTGAGCCCGTAGCCCCAAACACTCAATGGAACTGGCATGCATTCGGAAGTCTTAGATAGGCATCCATAGTATCCGGTCATGGTACCCCCACAAAGCCACACCCAGCTGATGCATAGGAACTGATTCGTCCTATATAGGCCTATAGTCGTTTATTACAGTGGTTTCAGAGGTTCGATGGCACAATCCCCAAGTTTGGTGGTTTTCACGGACCCCCATCTACAGTAAAAAACAATGTAGGGGTGCCAGTGCCATCGAACCTCTGAAACCCACTCCACCTGGCTTCGTCCGAGCTTAAGCCGCTGGTTCGGCCATCTCCACCGAACTTCTCCAAAGAGTCATTGGCTTTCTCTCCCGAAACCCCGAGCCTTTCTTGATCAATCCGCCCTTGAAGGCCTCGTCATCGTGCGAGAAGCGTTCCAGAAACACTCTCACTCACGGGTGAACGCCCGTGCGGATCATAGATTACTCTATCCCCCCGATGAGAACGGATCATTTAACATAACATTCACTTACTATTGTACAAATCTCGGTTTGCCTTTAGAGCTTCCGATTCCAAATCATTGACGTCTTGCATAGTGTTTGCATAGTGAGCAAACAAACAAAAGGTGGCTGTCTAACATGCACAACATGTGAGAAAATGCATGTACAACCCAGAGTGTGTGTGTGTGGGATTGTTTGGGTATGTGTGAAATACGGTATACGTTATATTATAGTTGAAATATCTTCGAAAAATTGAATCATTGCTGCCAATGGATGCCAAAAACGAACGTCTCGCTGTGTATTCTGTGTGGGTTTCTTTCTGTGGGTTTCTGGAGTGTCAGGCAGCAAGCCCGGCCTCGTTGGAACCGGATCGTTGCGCTTTGGACCACGACGAACATCGATGGTTTTCCACGTGCGGAACGCGGGAGGTGAGGACCCGAACACGACAAGGACTTGGCTGAAGGAGGTGTTTCCAGGACAGCTGGCTGAAGACCTGGATCCTGAACCATCCTGAGACCGAAAAACCAAACAGCCTTCCGAACATCATCGCCTTTCTGCCGGCGCAGAGAGGCTACAAGGGTTGATGCTGCTAGAGAGGTCTTCCGGGCTGTGTCAGTTCCGAGGTAAGCATTCTGGCTGACCAGGACAAAAAGGATCTCCAACCGCCCCACATCTTCCGAACACATCTTCCCACCCTCAACGACTCTCCGCATCCGAGACTTCGCGGTTGTAGTTGCACTCCATGTTTCATGGCTCTTCAAGCTAGCGTCCACAGTCTTACACCGCCCTTCACCCTGGTTCCGAAGGGCTCACGAACCCCACCGGTTTTCCATGGTTTTCCCAACCGACACGCGCCGTCGGCCGACGCCCCGGAGCCTTCTGGGGCAGGCAACAGCAACAGCATCCCTGGGGATCCTCGAGTTCCTGGGTGGACGGGAACTCGGGGGGGGGGGGGTCAAAACCACCGTCCAAGCCATGTACACAGACCAAATGCGCCAAAAAGACATGTCCGATTGTTGAACAATTGGGGGGGGGTCTGAGCCGTGAAATTCCGTGCTCCTGAGTTGACTAGAACCCCGAAGCAAGAATGAGTTGTGTTGAAGGAGTTGGCACATGGCCATGATTCGTTTGTCTGTGTGCAACACTTCCAAGATATCGTCGAAGCACCCGTTAACCCCTGCCCGTGATGGATCACCTGCTACTGTGACCAGGTTCGCGCACAAGACATAAGAGGAGTCCCCGCTCCCCGCAAATGTCGACGAAGATGGAGGCGGATAATTGCCAATGGGAAAACAATGTTCCTCTACAAAGCAGGGGCAGCAAGGGTTCTCCTTTTTTCAATGTTTGAGTCGGAGAGCAAACTGGACAAAGTACTGGACAACTGATCAAATCTGATCTGATCAACTCCGCACCCCAGTTTGAACACCTCACATGATGCAAACATTAAAGAAGCAACACGGAGGAGAATCCTTTTGGGCACCCCCTCCCCATCCCTCCCAAATAAAGGCGTTGCGCAAGTGTCTCGCTCTTTGACCTTGAAGCAACAGCAGCAATCCAAGCGACTGGCCTGAGTACCTGCCACAGACGACTTGTTAACGATCAACATACCAGTAGTAGATTCTGCGGAGCAATTGCTTTTTCAGCGGTGTCGGTTGAGCCATTCTTTCTCCTCCTATTGGTCCTTTTGGGCGTTACGGTTTGTAGTGGTGAATCCCCTTTATGGTCAGGAACACCAAACCAAAACCACCAGTCCGACCCAGAAGCCAAAGGGGTCAGTTCTGGCAGCAGCCCTTCAACGATTTCGCATGAGCGAGTGTGAGCTGTTGGGGAAAAAACAGGACGCCCTGGATTAAGAGACAAAAATGGAACCTGAAAACCACTGGGTTGCGGACATCGTCTTCCAGTTCATTTTCAGCTTCCATGTGGGTCTCTTCCCAGGTATAATGCTTGAACATCCATAATGCAAAGCGGTACGGTTCTAGGATGAATCAGGATTAATCGACCCTTTCGCATACTAATTTTGTCTATTTTTAATGATCTTGGTTGAGTGGTGAATAAAATCTTCTGAACTGCTTGAACCCCCGCGGTGGCGCACGTTTGGCATTCAAGGCCAAGCACGGCAAGAACACGGTCAGCTGGAAGGTGTAGCAAAGCACGATGGAGACACCTCTGGACCAGGGTTTTCCACGCGGTGAACTCAGTCCAATCAGGTCTCATTTGGTGTTGGCAACAGAACCAACTAATATCATAAAAAGGGATCATGCTGATGTATAGTCTATAGAGTCCAGTCTAGTCACACAGTGGCCAGAATTATGTGCAATTGAACTAACATGAACTAACCCTCTGCCCATCAAGAAGGGAAAAGCATGTAACTGCGCAGCTTTCTTGCTTCATATTCCACTTACTCTGTCCATCTCTCTCCCGACCATGCTCTTGTGGGTGGGCAAGATCCACACACCCTCCAACCGTGCTGGCCAGGCCTACGGCCGGCCTGTCCGGCTCCCAGACAGGTTCTCAAACCCCTCCATCGCCCCGTACAGACTCCCCCCAGCCACTTGACCCGTGACTGTGCTGTTTCTGCAAGGCTTCCCCATCTGTTGCCAAGTCGCAGGTTTCACCAGCAGAAAGCTGCTGCCCCACCCACCTCCACCGCACCAACCCCTGCACCAATCGTCCGCATGTGCCTGCGTAGGTGCAGAACCAGCTGAGCGCCGGGAGGATCGTCGTGGCACCCACCAGGAAGGCCAAGGCGTCCGTCGCCGAGGTGATCAGCACCTCCGCGTCCCCCCACGAGCGAGCGAGGCCCCGGTCGTGCCGCGTGTGTCGCGTGTGTCGCGAGGTTCAGCGCCGAATGAAACGGGTGTCGGACACCAGGTCGACCCAAAGGATGAAGAAAAAAAGGAGAGATCATTCAAGTGAGATCCCCACTATAGGTGCCGGACTTGCCCTTCCCCAAACACTCCATGGGCATCCGATATGTGTATAGCTATATATATATATATGTATAATCATATTGATCCTATATATATATATATAAGGGTTGAAAAGGGGTCAATGATGTCAGGAGTTTTGGGGGTCAATTCTGGGTCCAATGAGGTGTCAATGATAGGTCCAATGCTGGGTCCAGGTCCGATGTGTTCGTGTCTGCTGGGCGCCCCCACCGAGATGCCGCCGGTGCGCGCCGTCTGGGCGATGATCTCCGGCACAGAGACTTCGCCCTGGCGTGTTTGGAAGGTAGCGAGGCCCTTGGTGCCTATAGTAGCGATGCCCTTGTAGCTTCTTGCTCCTGTTTGCCTTCTGGTGCGGCCTAATACACTAATTGAACTTGTGGACTGGGACATGCTGGCAGAATCAGGTAAGAACTGGCAAGAATACAGGATCGCAAGTTTCAGGCAAGAATTCTTGAGGGTCTCTGAGGTACATATTCTGAAGGGATTTGGGGTGGGGTGGCAAAACCTGTGCGGACCATTACAAGCTACCGTTGCCTCACTACCGATGGGTTTGTAGTGTATTGTAATGTGAGTGATGTTCATGATCGATGCGTACCAAGCCTTTGTTTGGTCTGCGTGAGTGTTGGACATACACTGGGCTCCCGGCTCGTTCGGTTTTTGGGCTTGAAATGCAAGTTTACCCCTCGTCGCATCTCAGACGGGCTTAGAATGTCTTATATAGATCTGTAGATTCTGTGGTAGGCTATATAATGCTATATAGATCCTCGATCCTGTTCCCTATCCTCAACCGCAAACCGAAATAGCATTTCTCACATCACCAACACAAGAAAAGATCAAGCTAGATCCAGGAGTCACATTGCTCGTTTTGGGGGGTGCTTGAGACGCCAGTCGTGAGTGGGATGTTCCCCTATACCCTCCATCTTCCGCACCCCGTCCCGTTCTTCACGTCCCAGTTTCACCAAGCTGTGCACACCCACCACGGTTTTCACTCGAACATGCTGCCTTGCATGCTCTCTTGTGAGTCAAATACTCAGAGGTCAGAACGAAGGCATCATCCACCCCCAGGCCCAAGAGCAAGAAGTAGAGGTTGTTGTTCAAGTTGCCTTGGAAAGTCGGTCGGGCTGGTGAACATGAGATGCGGCAAAAACCGGGTTTACCGGCTCCCTTTGAACCAAAAAGGGAGGTCCCAAAATGGATCCAAATGGGTATATGTCATGACAGATGGTAATTAATTGTGTTTTAATGTTTTTTAACCATATTTGTTCATCGTCTCAGCTGAAAAAGGGCCTGATGAGTCACGGTTGCATCATCCAAACTCACCAACCTGGAAAATCCACTGGCTGAGGTGAACCCTCGGGTTCACCTCGGCACCGGACGTGGCTCCGACTTGGTCCTTCTCTCAAGTTCCTCCTGATCGCTTGGAACCTCCCGCACTTGGGCCTCCAAACCCCGATGCACCAAGCCTCTTTAAGCCTCTTTCCCCCAGCCGGGTGGACCCAGGACCCGCGATGCCCCCCGGCCACGACGCCCTCCCCATGACCGCGAAGATGACTCGTGTCTCTGCGGTCGACGGGCCGTTGGGCACACCGAAGTAGCCCATCAGGCCCAAGGTCGAGGCCACCTGCCATCCATTCGAAGCGACTGCGGCGATAGGTATGGCCCGACCCCGGAAGCGGCCCAGCGGCCCAGCGGCCCAGCGGCCGAGCCGATCGGCGGTATTTCCAGAAGCGAGGCAGGACGGTCGGGGTCCTTCGAGCCGTTCCTTTGATCTTCAAAAGCCATGGATGTAGAGTCACCAATGGCAGGCAACGTACTGTAGTGACCCCAAGAGAGCTTGCCATTAGTGACCCCCCCAAAAAAAACTGGCTGATTCCTGGTGAGTCTGGCTGAGATTGGAGTCATGAGGGACCAACACGGACTAACGAACATACAACGAAACCAACGAAAATACCACGGCACATTCACGCATGCGTGCGTATGTTGGTGCCTGCACAGAACTCCAACCTTTGTACACTCAGGAAGATTAACATGGAACCTGAAAATTGACCTTTGGAAGACTATTTTCCTCTACAACCCAGTGGTTGTCAGGTTCCATGTTAATTTTCCCGGATGTAAGTGCAAAATGCGGACCCTGCGGGGTGCTTTTGCTCTAGAAACCAGTTACTTTGTGGATTCTCTTCAGGTCAGTCAATCTTTTCAGGAGGGCAAACTGTTCCTTCTCACCTTTGGCAAGCAAACAACACAGGGCAGGAAATGTTGTTACTGTTTTGGAAGTTGACCATCTCATCACAGTTAAGATACAGTATCTCATCCAATAGGCCACATGATCCACATGTTGGAAATCCCCCTGCAGCAAAGAAGGATTTGTCTCAAAATGGATGCTCTTAAGAGACCTAAATGAAGCAACACACTTGATGCTTTCAAATTGGAATGTTTGCTTCTCATGGAAGGCGTCAAACCATGCACCTGCCGGCTGCTGAACACTTACCCGCGCAGACGAACCCGCGCAAACACTCGACTTCGCTGCGTCCACGGCGCAACGCCCGCAGGGTCCCCCCCAGGGCGCCGCGCCGTCAGTCCGACGATGCCCACCGCCACGAAGGCCATGGCCACTCCGCTGTGCACGGCGTCGCATTTGCCCAACATGATCTGCGGGCGGATGAAAACGGCCGTACACCAAGGGCCTGGACACGCTAGGAAGCCCCCCTAAGGTCCATGTGTGTCCATGAACTAGTGGGCCCTGGCAGGAGCCAAGTCTGGTCTCGAATGTTCGAGTCATGCTAATATGTTGTTCCAGACAAGCCGGCCTGATATTCAGTTCGACTGTTGTTGCTTCTGTGCATCTAATCTTTTTGGTATACGTACATAATTTATATACTGGGAGTGCAAATCTTCCAAGAACTTCTTTGAACCTCGATCTGCGCTGTTTTCGTACCAGCAGTTCCAAGCTTAATGGAGGGTAGGGGGTACCCATTGAATTTGTATATTCAAAAGGGCTCCAAAGCCCTCGTGGCACCTGTTCAAGCAGCTGACACTCAAACAAACTGCTCGTTTGCAGCCATGGCACCGCGCAGTAAACCTGAGAGGATTGAGCAGCTCGTGCAATCCGGCAACTCTTCTTGGAGACCAATACCATGTGCTGAACCAAACTACGAAAGGGCGTCCCGACCCCAGCCTCCCACTAAAAGGTGGTTCTTCTTCGACCACAGGCTTCGGGTCACCTCTCTTGCTCGTCCACCTGTTCTTCAGTGCTCCGCAAACCTCTCAGCTCCTTGCAAGCTCTCTGACACTTCAAAAACATGTCCAAGCACACTCCAGCACACAAAAACATCCTCGCCGCCGAACACCCGCCCTTTGCGGGGTGAAATCACCCCCACCCCGCAACAATTGGGTCTTCCAGGCCACGATGATCACGCCATAGGAGGCGGTCAGCTTGGAGATATCTCCGCGGATGGCGTTGCCGAACTCGTCGCCCAGCGACCGCTGGAAGAGGCCTTGGGATGCGTCCGACGACGCACGCGCGACGGACGGTGAGGGTTGGAGCAGGGACACGACCGATGGGACTGGCACATAGTTACCGACATTGACCCCGACTTCAACTTCAACCATGCAAATGTAAACCATCAACCGCTTTCTAATGTCGTTTTTGCATCAACAATTTGCATGCAGGTAAATATGCCATACATGTAGTGGGTGTGGACATGCCAGGAGGCCTGGTGAAAAAGCTCTTGCTTCAGTGAACAACAACATTCTGTTGAGCATCCCCAAAAGAACTCACACATGGAAGCCGCATGCGAGAGAGCCTTTGCTCAATAATGGCCAAAAACAATGGTCAAGATCAGTTGAAACCTGAGCAAATCTACCCTACAGGTCAATGACCTCATTTTACTGGAGTTGGTCATACGACAACAACACTACTCAGGGGGGGAAATAAACAGGTTTCACTGGGTCTTTGGACTTGTAGGGTACTGTTTCTCCTTTCTCCTGCTTCAACAACTCAACATGTTACTCTGTGTTGAGAGTATGGTTTGAAAGTTATGCCCTAGAGCTCCCAGTAATTCCCTCCTCAGGTATGACTGGACCCTCCTGGCACCCGCCCCAGTCCCAACCGAAATGACCATATGACTCGAGCCCATGGCCGGGATCTTGTACTCATGCTTTTCACCCCAGTCCAGTAGGTGCAGAACACATCAAAGCACCGGAGGATCCGACCCGCCACAACCGACTCTTCAAATTCGACCCAATGGCGGATTCGACTCACGAGCGTTTTCATCCTTCACAATCCTGGCCCCGCAATGGGACGGCTTAACTGACCGAACAACCATCGTTCGAACTCCGTCCATACGCGGTCGTTTCGGAAAGGCGGGTGGGATCGTCCCCCAAACATCCTGCCCTGCCCCCTCCGTGCGGCACATGGGAGAGCCGAACCATCCAACCGAATCGAGGTGCCGCTGAACTTCAAAATACCATCCTCTTGGCAGTCCAACTTGGGTTCTGCTCGCGGATCTGCATCAATGCCCATCCTGGTGTGGACGACATCCACCCCAGCCGCATCCGGTGCGTTCGACAAACACGCGCGCGACAAAGGTGCGTCCTCCACCTGAAGAGGCCTGTCATTTCATCCAATTGGCATCATGTAAGAACCAGTGTCCCCCTTTCTTTCACCTGTTCTGTGTTACGCTGTCAAAAAAATAACAGAAGCATTGTTCAACATTTACAGAATTATAGAATGACATGGTTTGGTTCTTGCCAACAGGGTGACCACTTTGTGGTGCGTCCTCCAACCATGTCAACCAGCGACCTTTCTCATCGTAGGTGAATTTCTGACTCCTAAGCCGTGGCACCGTGGAACAAGGTTAACTAAACTATCCATCTGGATTTAAATGAGGTGGATACCCCGACCCCCCCAAAGGGTTATCCACTGCTATCCACTTTTCATAAAACTGACTCTCAATTCTTAATTCATCTTTATTCCTGAAACGACTTCGACAGGGTGAAAACTCCTGGGTTGGAGTCCACACACAAAAACTCGCCACACGCACGAAACACAGCACCAAGTGGCAAGCACAGCACCCGGCGCTCCCACTCGTCGGCTACTGGGTCGCTGACACCGGCCGTCGGGCAATAGAGTTCCTCAGGTACCGGGAGGGAAAAGTAGATATGACAATTGAATCACACAGAAAGACACCAAAGAATTCGATCTAATTTTACTCCCAAGGTCTAAGATTGTTGTACGTATCGCACAAGCCTAGCCTGTAAAACAATAGACACTGATCACCAATGCTCCTGTTCTCTTGGGCATTGGAAATCGTTCAAACAAAACCCTGTTCTTCAACAATGAGTCCAAATGTCTGACAAACCGGTCGATGATGTGTCAATGTGTGTAATTCCGGAATTCCCGATCGCCAAGACACCTGCTTGTTCAAAGCCCAAAAGCCTGCGATGTGCTTTCCGCTGGCATACTCCCACGTAGCATCGGAGGCCTCAGCTGCTTGGGTAGAGAGGAACAGTTGGGGGTGCCAGATAAAGAAGCGGCAATTATCAGGATTTGAAGTAGCAAGAAGCTACTAGTAACAAGTGCATCGCTACTAGTAGCTTCTTGCTACTAGAAGCTACACCCTTGTTACTAGTAGCGATGCACTTTGTTACTTGTAGCAAACACACAGTTTTGGTACATGAAATTGTGCCCCTCTGCATACGTACCCAGCCACTCTGTGCAACCCTAGACCTTGCACCTTGTAACGGTCGGGGTGAGATCAACATCAATCTTGTCCAGTTCGTCTGTATTTTGCTCCACCAAAAAGCAAGGAACTTCCAAACTTTGTGCCTTTTTGAGATGGCCCTGTTTCAGTCCACTCAACTAAACACTCCCACGAGTAACAGGTCCTCTTCGTTGGTCCTTCTTCGCTTCCAGGCGACTAATCCTCCCACCATGGTCTTGATCTTCGTCGGCTGAAACTCGAAGGCGCTCTCGGGCGCATCGCCGGGATCCTCAGTGTACAGTAGGTCTCAGTAGGTCCTGCAGGTCCGGAGTAGGTCCTACCTAAACTACATCATGCATCCTGTAATACTATAGTACATCAAGAACATGATAGCCTATCATGATAGCCAATAGTTGTTAGCAGGTTTGTTGGTACAATCATACATCACATGATACAAAACATTGTGAAAGAAACAACATCATAGAATATCATAGAATTAATGTTAACTACTAGTCTATTAATGTCTATTATATAATATAGGATAACTACAGTTGCTTTGACGTCTCGTCCCTTCCTGGCGGGGGTCAGTGTTCAGCATCCCACTCGCTGTGGTGGTACTGATGGAGCTCAAGCCACCCAACTGGATGCAGCCGCGATCCTGGAGGGGATCGATCCAATGGAGACCGATGGAGTGGGGAGAGTCGAAGAGAGTGGAGTGAGAAGAGGAGGGTAAAGAGAGAACGACCCTCTGATGTACCAACAGCTTCGCTATGCTTGCGACTAGCTGACTACTTTGCTTCCACCAACTCTTCCAACAGGCCCACGTCTTCCGGAACAACGACGAAACACCATATTAAGAAGAAGGTCTTCCCATCCGGCTTGCCCAGAACACCCCCCATCCGGCTTCGGAGTCCTGACAGCCGGCCATGTCGACAGGGATGGTGACTTCCTCTCCGTTCACCATCATCGTCATGGTGGGGCACCTGGGGTCCCACGGGCTGAACCGCGACCGGGTCCTGCGCTCCACCTGCGCCAGCCGAGGACGCCGCTTTAAGTCCATCCGGCTTGACGACAGCTTTAAGTCCTGCGTGACTCCGCGCCTGCGCGCGCTGTGCCGGCAACACCTGTGCCGACCAACGTCCAACCTCGATCCACACACCTGTGGTTTTGGCGTGCGCGTCCGGGACGCCTTGATCAGTCCAACCACCCCGCAATATGTGTGAAAGGAGACGTGCGAGTCCAACTTGCGCAGGCCTTCACCACATTTCACGACCCAGCTAGGCCTTCGACCCGGCCAGGCCATTCGACCCAGTGGGCCTTTGAGAAACATCAAGCAAAACACTTCAGACTACTCACGCCGAGCCAATCCCTTCTTGAGGGATTGGGAGGGTGTCGATGACAGGGGATGACAGGATACCACTTCTACCATTCTTTGTTAAAAAACCACATCTGAATACATACCACATCCGGAGATATCAGATCTCCTCCTCATGACTCCACTGGTCCCCCGATCCCGGCCGAGCTGCTTGCTCTGGCAGTAGCTGGTAGCCGTCGCACGGCACAGTTGTCGCTCGGAGGTCGTCTGATATCTCCGGCAGTTGCCTCGGCGGCGACGCGCCCGGCGCACGGCCGACCAAGCCGCCGGGGGGGGGTCTGCTGTGGTTCGAAAGGGTCAAGACTTCAAAAGAGACTGAGAGCTGTGGTCCAGGCTGTGGTGATGTCCACAAGCAAAGAAACAGGGGGGGCGATGAGATGAGTACTCAAGGACCAAGCGTCAAGAGTTCTTGCCGTTCTCGCTAGGGTTCAAATACAGGGCTCCGAGTGAAAGCAGGGCGTTACATCCTGCTCAAACCCGTATGGATCTGTACGGGAAGGGAACCAAAACACACATCCAATGAAGCTCCGACCGGCCCGGCCCCGGCCCATCCGAACTCCGCGATGTTTCGCAACTCCAAGAGGTCGACCGTTGTGGTCGAGTAGCCCGGCACTCTGGGCCTATACATATACGACGTACATCTATAATTGAAAGCAGTGCCCAACAGAATTGTCCGGCTCAAGTAGTAGGGTTGCGGGTGCCGTTGATTGATTCAAATGCATGCCACGGTCTATGAACTGATGGGGTCAACCTTTAGATATTATGAATCAAGAGAGTGGGGAACCAACATTGGTTTTCTGACATCTGAACAATATGTGTCCACATGTTTGATTCCTTCCAAGTGTTTGTCTTATTATTCATCTATTTTTAGTATTCACTACACAAATATAGATCCAGTGTTTCACCTTCTCAACTCTTCCTTGTAAGTTCTCCGGCGATTCAAACCTTCAATCCTTATCCTTCTCCACTTCCCAGCGGCTGTCGTGGCAAGGAGAGTCGCTGGTCGCCAAGGTCAAAGGGCACATCGTCTCCTGAGCCTCCGGTCAGCAAGGTCAATGCATCCGGGGTCTCAAAGGAGGCGAGTGGAGAGCCGGGTCTCAAGTATTATAACCCTAGGCTTCCAACCACCATTGATTTCATCGCCCGGCTACCAAAACCCGAAGAACCACTTGTTATGCCTAGGATTCTGTCGACATTTCTAGGACTACAACGCCAGGTCAACGATTTTTACTTATGGAAGGCTAGGAATACAGTATGTCTTGTCTTTGGTAGCTTTTGGTGTCAAAACAATGGTTTGTTTCCGTCCAAGGTCAGAACCCTAAGCGATGAGGGTCCCATGAGCCTTTGGGCAAGAATGTGAAGTCTTCCATCATCTGCCAAGCATTTGCGGTCAGAAAGGGAAATCACTCCAGAACTCATGCAATAAAAAATGTAGACTGTAGACCAAACAAACATGTCTTGGACATTGCTTCTAATTGGTGATCCGTATATAGTTCTAGTGGCCTCTCCGCACCGAACCTTCACAGACATCCGCAGCTCTAGCCTTCGATCCATTCTCGGTGGCCACGTTCGAAAGAAACCAACCACCCCGCGACGATACAAACCGCCTCCCAGCTGTTCACGGCCAACTTCACTTGATCGCTCGTCAAGTTGGAGATGATATAGTCATCATCCCTAAACCTCGGTGAAACCCATGAACAAGACCGAACCCTGGGCGGGGCGGTCGGAGACCCCGCAGCAAGTCGCCCAAAAAGGGGGAGGTGCTTCGGCCCGGAGCTCCTCCGAGGAGCTCTTTCTGGGACCGGCAACGGCAACGGTTCGGTTTCTGAGCTGAACTTGGCATGCATTTCAACTGGTCGAGTTATGTCTCCAACTTGAAGTTGGACAGCCAATCATTGACATCTGACCAATCTGCTATATAGTCTAATATAGTACTTTACATCCAACCCAAAGAAGCAAAAGACTGAATTCGCAGATTGTTCAAGGAGTCGGAGAGACGCTGATGAGACTTAGACAAGAAGAAGGGGTGTGACTCTTGCAGAAGAAAAGGCTCTGGACATGGTGAAACCATGGTGAAACCCATCCCAAGATGTAGGTTGACCATCAAATTGCCCATTCTGCTCATGTTCGCTGGTCACCCGAGCTCTCGTGAACAATGACCCACCGCCATGTCTGCCTTCAAGGCCTGCAGCAACAGGGTGACTTCTCTTTCCCCTTCCGGCGCTCCATGAAAGTCCTCCACGAGACTGCCAATGATGACCTACGTTTGGGTGGTGTTGGTGGTGAATGTTCATGATTGATGGTATAGGTCATATCGGTCATATTTATATACTACCGTGGAGCCTTCGGGTTTGGATCTTTGCGCATGTTCAAAGGGATTTATTCAGGCTTGATCCGCCATGCCGTACTCGACAGCATCCCATGCGATCCCCTGAGTTGGAGATGGTGAACGGCCTGGAGTGGACTCTCCATGCTATATCCATCTCCAAGCAGCACATCCAACACCGTGGACTTTCCACAGAAAGGGCCAAAGGAGTAGCACTTGCGACCATTAAAGACCACTGAGCCATTCACCTTAGCCGCTGGATGAGCTGGTGACTTTGGGGCTTGAACGTTGGGATTTGACCGAGTTGGTGAGTTCCTAGTATGTCACACATGGTCCTGCCTGCCACTTAGTAGATGATGGCCGACTCGTGTCGCTTCACACGTGTCACATCCCTCCAAACCATCTGTCCCAGACACGACTAATGGGACTGCCATACATGCCACGCATGGACCCCCCATACCACCCCAATTGACTATATGGCAGTCCCATTCGTCGTGTCTGGGTGTCGGGTGTGGTGCCTTGTTGCACCTCTGGAAACCGAACCCTCCGACGCTCCGCCGCTCCGCCGATCCGGACCAAACCAAAGCGGTGGTCGGACACCTCGGCCCCCTCGGGTGGTCTCCCAGTGACACTCTGTGGGTCGCCGTTGAAACCTCGGAGGCCAAGCGCGGCTTGCCGGCACGGCAGTTGGGCCGCAGCCAGGTAGGTCGGGTCGTTTGGCCAAAATGACTTCCTACAGGTCATGCAAAAAACACTTCAGGAGGTCAAGCTCGACCAGGTTCTACTGGATCAAACAGGGCTCGTGACTTGTGGGGACTTGACTGTCTGGCTCAAGAACTCGAGCCACCCCATCTCAGCCCAAACCGCCCAACGGTTAAAAGAAAGGCTAACCTATTTAACCTGCTGTCTAACATCCTTGGTAGTGATTGTTCCTTAAAAGCGCTGAAATCAATGGCGGTAATTACAAAATACTGTGCCAATCCCATGGATGTTTAACTGTCAGGGTGTTCCAGGCGAAACGTGCTCCACACAAACATCCTCCAAGCAGCTCCAGTTTCCGCTGTAGATGGTCCAGGGTCGGACGTCTCCTGTCACCAGCTGCTACCGATCGACTGCGGCCGTTCTTCGCGGAGAATGACTCGAGCACCACCGCGTCGTTTGAGCGTCGTTTTGAGCGTCGTTTTGCGGTGATGCGGCTATGTCTGGACCTCTTCGGGTGTTTAGTGTCTTGATTCTGTTGCGGACGAGTCGCAGCCACGGACCCCCTGGTCATGTTGACGGGTCGTGTTTGGAATTGGTCTAGACCTCTTCATACCAGGGTCATTCAATGGGTGTCCTGGCTAGACTACCCTACCCTACGTAAACAGGTCGAAGCGCTAGGTATATGATATTTCATATGGGGGGGAGTAAGTTTTATATAATGTGCTTTACCATGGCCGTGTAAGGGGAAGACACCCCGGTTCCGGCGAGTTTATGGTAGGCGAACCTTCCAAGGGGTCGAACTGGGGGTCTAATCGACGAAGCCTCCAAATTCCGCATGACGTGTGCACTACTCATCAATCTATGACATGTGGGCTTTGATTGGGGTAGCCACCAGCACCACACGATATTGTTTGATCTGCAGAGGCGCCATAACAATGCAAGAAAAAGCCAAACAGGCATGAAAAAGCCTCGCAATGACTCAACACAAAACCTTTCGCTCATCTGAATCAGATGCCTCACATGTGGTTGGATCATCACGCCCCGCAATCGATGTAATCGATCAATCAAAATGGAGCTTCTCTTCACCCTCTCCTTCCGATCGTTTGTGCTGCTCATCCAAATCCTTGACAATGTCCGCACCTTCAGAGTTAAACATCGAATCCCATGAGGCAAAAGCACCACAAAGCCAACTGAACCCCACTTCTTCCGCATGTGACAAGGCCAGCAAGCAAGCCTGCCACCTGATCGTTATCATCCGTATACACAAAGCCGTCTACTTCGACCTTCTTCAACGACTCACCAGGAGTGACGTGACGTGCCGAACGAACGAACGGCTTCGCCCTCCAGAAAGCCCCCGGAAGATCTGAAGAATGCACCTGTTGAGTGACTCACCGGTGCTTTGAACCAAATCCTCTTTGAGCTTCACCCACCAAAGCCCGGCTTTTTGCCCCCCCATCCGGGCGGCCATCAATGACGATCTTCTTCACCTGCCTGAGCGCGCGGAAAGAAGGGCGGAGCCAGGTCGGGGCTGGCTGAAGAGGGGGGGCCCCTGCCGGGCCCGGGTCATCTTGCCTGATCGCTTCCAGGACCAAGGAGAAACATGGTTCCTGACGAAACGTTTGGGATTCACAAGAGGATGGGCTAGGATCCAAGGGCTAGGATCCAGATGGATCAAGCTTTTTGTTTGCAATACTCCAGTCGAAACAGCAGAAACTGCCAGTACAGTGAAGTGCCAAAATAAGAACAACCTCATGCACGAACTTATCCCTCAAATACTTCCATCGCATCTTCCTGAAAGGCAACGCATCTCGTGAGTGCTTGCAGCTGGTTTTGGGATTAGCCACACAAAGCTGTCCACAAACACTTTGTAAGATGCATCTAGATACAGTTCAACTTAGGCCGATTTCATTGAATTTCCCATGGACATGTTGCCACCCCATCTCTTCAATGATGGTTCGGTTCCACTATCTACTGTTTTTACGTGTCTTTTTTTAAGGAAAACATATATACCTAGACCCCGCAAAAGACGTGTTTTATTTTTCCGGTGGGGGCAGTTTTCAGGCAATGCTCAAAAAACCAACACAACTAAGCAGATTTGGTGTCGATCTTTGTTACTTCTACGTTGATGTTTGTCACTTCTGCGTCATTTTGGTGTCATGTGTTCTATCGCGAACTTGCTGCATTCTTCTGCGCCACGTTTTCTGGCGAGACAGAATCACAACACATCGTTTCAGGGTCCAGGTATATACACACACAGTGCTTAAGCATGATGTTTTCCGACCTGGTCGCATCGACCTGACCGATAGCCCGGGGCCCCTGAGGGGTGGCCGAAGGGCTCGTTGATCGCATGGAAGCGTTGCAGGTACTTGGGTTGCAAGATGTCACCTCAAGCGCTGCGGTTTCAGAAACCGCACAGTTTGGAGCAAAGCAGCAATTGAGCAAATGGTCAAAGCATATGTGGTACATAAACTCATATAATATATATATATATTATTAAAGTATGTTTCATGCTTTGTATTACATATACCCAGAACCCCAGGATGAGACCTGTTTTTTTGACAGGAAGTGTGGCCATAGTGTGTGGTTTGTTGTCCAAAATAGGGGTTCATGAAGGTTCTAGTCCTTTTGTAATATTATCATGTCATGTCTAGCACTGACTTGAGTGTCTAATGATCTCTAGTGAAATACAATGGCTGAGAGTGTCTACGCCATTCAACGCATCTAAATCTATCCCAACCATGTCTAATCTCTATAAGATCCCACAACATATTGAATCCTAAAACTGTGTCAGTTTCACCAACAGCTGGGGAGAACAAAGTCATACAAAACAAGGTCATACAAAAGTCTGCTTCTCCTTCTTAGCCTCTGGCGCATTTCCGTTGTACAACCTGTTTCCGAGCTTCCACTCTGAAGTGTTGGACGTTGCTGGTTGCTTCTGAATCGAAACGAAAACAGCCCATGAGCAGATCCTCTTCAGAGATCAACCACATCCTCTACAGTTTCCCAACCCTCCAGATCCTCAGCCTCACGGGTGAAAAGGCGGCGTCACTCTAAAATTGCCCTTGGCCCAGCCACACTGCTCTTCGCTGACGTCCGCACAGGTCGCGGAAAAGAAGTTGAAGCGCGCGTTGCCGGGCCAAGTGCTGGAGACCTCGTACGGGAGCGCGGCGGCAGCCGCCGCACAGGACAGCGCAGCGCTTGTCGCAGGTTCGCCGCGTTCGCGCGTGGCGTGTGGCCGGACCAAGTGGATGACGAGGAGGCGATGAAAAACGCTTTGAGGGGCTCCGGCCCAAGGATTTTGTCCTTTTTTTTTGGAGGGCGGATGAAGCTAAGGAGGATGAAGGAGCGATGCGCGGAAGAGAACCACTCGGAAGCTGGGTGATGAAGTGGCCCAATGCGGAGTGAGGGCCAGTCGGTGGGTCGGTGCGGAGATCAGTGCGTCCTTTCGGTCACACCACGGGCACCAGGGGATTCAAGTGGAAAACGGTCCTTCTCGAACAGACTGCTTTTAATCCAAGTACAGCTGTGCAGCAGTGGCTAAGGGGTCAAAACCGGAGTGAGTTGGACAAGTCTGTGGCTAGTAGGTTGAATATCAGTGATGGTATGATAGCATCACCCTCAACAAATAATGTAATTACTAAAATGCGGATAAATGCGGAATCTTACATAAATTTACTGTAGATATATACATCTGCAAATTATGCCTCGTCTCCTTCAAAGTCATTTCTTGCACTCCTTCTTGCAGTCCTTTTCAGAGGTACCACGCGCACTTCTCCATCCGGGTGCCCCAACATAGTCATTGTGCTCCAGCGCTAAAGATCCTGTGGCTCCAAGAAGTTCCATCAGGATGGGGATGCGAGGATCATATAATATAATATATATATATATATGGATGTTACCAAACAACTTGTTTTTGCAAAGGTCTTTGAAGGCTAGGGTATGTATACTTTAAGTATATACTTATTTAATATTTACTTATTCATTACCTACCTGGACCATCCAAGGGGTGTTCTGGCCGGAGGTCCATGAAGAAGAGGGTTGGCTAGTCCAAAACATGTCCAAACAGGGCACGCCCGAGCAAGTTCCGCTCCGGTGCCGTGCTGGGCTTCGACACCTACAGTCACCTTGCTGGGCTTCACGGGCCATGCCAGAATCCCCCAACATCTAAGAACTTCCACAACCATCCATGATCATGGATGAGAAATCATGATCCTCAAGCCTCTCAAAGGGAGGTGCCATGGCCATGGGAGGCCATGTCATCTCAAACACTTCTTGGTGAGTTCCCCTCGTCCATCCTTGACCCGGCTATGTCTCCGTCCTGCAGGCACCCACTGCTTCTCTGGGCGGGTCTCGCTGCTCAGGAAGGCAAAGCCCCCCACCGCAGGCGACCACGAAGACCAAGCTTCCCACCAAGCTCTTGATCTGAGCGCCATCGGGATTCGACACGATCCGGACTGAGTCTCCGGAGCTGGGTTATAAGAACAGGGGCTTTTGGAGAAAGAGGTGATGGGCCGGGGGCCGGGCAGGAATCATTTGGGAGGCCTCGGAAAGAGCTTCGACACGTTGATATTTGGACTACAAGGGTCTGAACAAAAGGGGAAAAGCCACTATAGGGAGGTGGCTTAACTGGGGGTCCTGTGCAAGGCGAACATGCCAACCATGCGTTCAAGGGAGTTCACCCATTTGTATATAAGTACCTTGAAGTTAATATATATACAGTAACCAGACACCAATTAAAGGGTGGTGTATAGACACCCCATCTTTATGTCTTTTCCATCCAATAACCACCCGAACTGGGTGGTGCTGGATTCTTTTTCCACTGGTCTCAACTAGACAACGGACGCACGGACGCCCATGGGATCGCTCTCGGCGCTCGGACGTGGAAGGTCACCGCGTCCCCGCCGGCACCGCCCTATTCCGAGGAACAACGACCAGGGAACCGCCATCCATCACTACTAGTAAGGCACTTGTTACTACTAGCGAGGCACTCGGTTTCAGGACGGGTGGGAACGCTTCTCGAGGATCCGGTGAAAACGAAGAAACGAGCTTCTCGAGGAGTCCTGTAACTGGATCGATGTAGTGTTCGGGATTTGGTTGTCCAACGAAACGACTCGAAGCATCGTGCATAGAGAAAGACTTAGAGGCATACGTGCGCACTATGGTATATCTGGTACCTTTCAGATCCTTTCAGTTATTTCTACATATGTCTACGTGTTTTCTATCATATTCATCCATGAATTTTGTACGTTATCCATCGTTATCCTCTCGACCCAAACCCAGGTCTTCGATCACCTCGCCCACCACTCGACGGGACGAACGAACTCGGCCCGGCCCGGCCAGGCCAGGCCATCGGGCGCCCCAGCCGGATGGGTCCCGACGGCACGACCCACTCTCTCGAAGAAGTTCTCCAGGCACCGCTCGACGGCACCTCAGGAGGCAGCCGGAGGGTCGCACTCGCACCAACCGGAGGCGCCATCGGGTCGCAAGTAGACTCCACGACGTCGTTATGTAAAGGATCTGCAGACTGGGTGACATGGGTGTTCTGGTTGTGGCTTCGCTCTATGTCGCCCCCACCGAGTTAGGGAGGATGGCGCGCGGACCGCGCACGGGACCTCGCGGAGAAGCTCGCTCGGTGCCGAACGGCGGAGGTCTCGGTGCCCCCCGTGCACAGCCCCTGGATGGGACTCGAAAAGAACCCCGACATGTCAACCGTGGATGGCATGGATCGGCCCGGTGGTTCGGCCAGTCTGCCGATGTCCGGTTTCTCAAACCATGGTCTACTTGTGCCATGCGTAGCCCGCATAAAAGACGTCGAAAGAGGCTTTGTGGCACCAAAGTAGAGGCAGTTTCTTTTTGGGTTTTGGGTCACCCTATGTAGTCTAAGCGTGTTTTGTCGAACGCACACTTCAAGACTTAGGGTCAAGCTAACTCATCACTAAGAGACACTGATGATTCACGTTGTCAGATGCCAAGGCGCCAATACCCATTGTTCCCTGGTGGTGTTGCGGCTCCAAAAAACGAAAGAGAAGCCGCGTCTAAAACGTGAACGGCCTCCTTTCGTTTGAGCCAAGAAAAACCTCCCGCGAAGCGCCGCGAAGCGAGCGAACGACAGATCAGGACTGCAGACAGTCCAGGACTGCCAAACTAGCATCCATGGAACGTGCGTTGAAAGGAGACCTCCACGATCAAAAGTTGTTGGAAAAAGGTACATCAACAGGTCACCGCCAGCGATTGGTCAAAAAGACATGACATGACATGACACAAGGTTCACACCTCCGTGCGTGCGAGAAGCACGGCTCACACATGCTCGGAACCGCGGCTCGTGATCCCTGTCCTGAACCTTTTTCAGAGAGCTGTGGAGAGGTCAGGCGATGCCACCTGCGCAGGGCGGCATCGTGTTCTTGTGCTACTGAAAGTTGAAAAAAATAACACCCTGAGATGGAGAATGATGGATCTTGGGCAAATCTTAAAAAAGAACCGAAAGCCATTGAACAGTACCTTTTGAGCAAGTGAACCACAGTGAACCACTAGTTCCACAGTGATAGTTCAAACACTCAAACAGTGACGTACGAAAACTTGACCTCCTCTGTTCTGTATAGCGTTGAGTTTTGACCACCAAAGGAGGTGACACCTCAACCAAAGTGCTTAAAATCCAAATACTGGTGCAGTTCAAAGGGTGTTCAACGCACTCTGATATGTGATGGTATGAGATATTATAGTGCTGAGGAGATTGTTTGGTGAGTCTGTTTTTGGTTGAAGTACCTGTCGTGCAGCTTGTAAGTCGACTTTAAAGAAGTTCTAACCGCCCTAATCAATTACGCTCCTAATTTACGCCCAGCGGCAACCCCATGCTGGTACTGACTGACAACCCTGCCATCTCTTTCCTTCTACTGACAACCCCATGGATCTCAGCGTTGTTGATGGACGTGTTGCTGATGTTCAGCTCCAGAGCCTCTCATCCCTGGAAAACAGAGGTTTACCGAACTTTCCACCTTTTAGATGTTCATAGCAATGGCCTCCAACCTAGAAGCACTAAGAACCCAGCGCTTAAGGCAACCCTTGCTTCTTACAAATGAATATACATACAGTCACCAAGCAGTCACCAATGCTGAAGTGAAACTCCGACTCCTCAACAAGAACAAGAAACAGCGGACTTTCTACCGATCGTACCGGCGGTTTGGAAGATCTAAACCTTCCCATTCATCGCTCCGGCATCATCATCGCCGGCCCGAGGGCGCAGCCCGACGCTCAAGAGCATCGAGTTCAGCTTCGCAGGCAGCGCTGACTGGGATGCATTCCCAGCGGAAAATAGACCGACGAATTCGGTCGGCGGGACAGTGCGCGGGAAAGAGTGTCCCCGTCAAGTTTGGCCATCTGGTTTTTGTTTTTCACAAACATTGAGCAGAAACATGAGTCATCACAAGATTCGGCTCAAGGAGTCTCTTCAACGAACCAATGAACGATGGGGATTCTTTCAACTCCTCGATGCTCGGCATTTGTCGAGCTTCGACGCGCACCGTGAAAGGGGTAGCATCCAGTTCTGGATGCATAATAAGGGATGAAATGGTTGAGCAGCAAAGGAGACACAAAAAAGCTATGACGTGGTTCTTACGGTCACGAAGTGAGCTCTTGCCATAAAACAATGCTTGCTTTAAAAAAAAAAAAAAACATAAAAGAACTATAAGCAGAAACTTCAAAAAAGTATCCGAACCATTGAAGATCGACGATGTTAAACCAAGCCGCTGTGCCAGCAATAGGGAGGACAAGCTTCTTGCTCTGAAACATGAACAGAACAAGAACACCATGAATCCCAACACTTTATCTGTCGAGACCAATCAATCCATCAGAAGAGACCTGTTGGAAGTGCACATTGCGCAGTCTGTTACACTCTGACTCACTAACATGGAAGTGGAGTTCACCCCAGTTCACCCCCTGTCGCTAGAGGAACGTCCTCTTCCAAGGGACCATGTTCACTAGCGAGTCGGAGGGTCTCTTCAACGGACCACCAAGCGACGAAGAAGGGACGCCGCTCAGCCACTCAGCGACAGACCAAAAAGTCACACCTTGACCCCGGGAAGCTTGGAAAGATCGTGTTTTTCAAGTCTACAGGGCTCCAAGTACCGTCTACAGGGCTGCACTTGGAACGGGATTGGTCGTGCAAAGGACCAACAGCGGTCGCAGTGCGAGCGGCAGACCACTGCGAAAAGAGGACGCTTCGCTGTTCAGAGGACCTCGAAGCGGCGAAGATCGCAGGTCATCTGATCCATCTTCACATGGAATTGAAACAACATCAAAGAACATATTTAAATAAGAGGCCCCCTAAGGGGTGGTCATGGACACCCCGAATCACCTCTAAGGAGCTATCATTAGACACCCCTTAGGGGGCCTAGTAGTAATCATATATCACATAAATACAGTAATATGTTGTGTGTTCCTTGCATGTTTTGATACGTTGTTGTTTTCTGTGGAGCGTTTGTCTTGAAATCATCCTATTTCATGGCTGGGTGGAGGACCATGCCACCAAGTCGATCCAAAAGTTACGCCCTGGAAGAGACCCACTGAAAACCACTGGGTTGTGAAGGAAAATAGTCTTACAGTCTGGTCCATTTTCAGGTTCCAGGTTAATCTTCCAGGGTGTACTTGGTGGCCGAAGAGTCCTCCACACCCGTGGTTTTCAGGTTTGGGTACCTCAGGGCGTAGATCCACATGAAGAAGCGGCGACGGCTTCAGGATCCAATCTGAACATAGATCCGAAATGATCTACTAGGCCCCCCTGGTTCGGGGTGTCTAATAATAGCTCCTTAGAGGTGATTCGGGGTGTCCATTCACCACCCCAGGTATGGGGGGCCCTGGTATAGGACTTCTTGCACGGAACCAGTGAGTTTCCCGGGATCCCTGCACGGGTGACCGGTCCAAAAGCGCTGTCACGTCGTGCATCTGCTACACGGTTCCCGTGCTGAGCGAGAGCTACACCATGGGCTCTGAGCTGCAAAATCAGAAGCAATGAGCATCGACATATGCACATGGGATACCTCTCAGCATATGAATCATAGATCAAGGCTGACACTGCGGGGACCTGGATGGTTATGTTATATTAAATTCTATATATAATTGTCACAGAGTCATGTGATGAGTTACTAGCCACAAGTGAAGCTTCAAAAGCATACTGTATATTATATAATGAACTGTAAGTCAGCAAGTCACGCAGTTCAGTCAATAATCAAGGAGCACGGTTTCTCTCCACCCGCACCTCTCCCAGATTCGACTCCAAGGCCTAATATATGTCCAGCTCAGTCCACGATCCAGCTACCTTTGGCTCAGCTGCCAACGAGACACACCAGCTCACTTCTATCCGAAGCTCGCGGGTTTTTTTCCCACGCGCCCAGCTTCGTCGTAGAAATCACCGTCACAGCCGGAAGCTTCAATCCGAAGCCCACAAGGGGGGACGTGATTCGACGGAGTCGACGCGTGCGCTCCAGGCAGGGAAAACAAGGAGTGTCGGCCATCGTGTGCTGGAACTCCTTTGGTTTTTGTTGGGTGATGGATGAAGTGATGGAGTGATGGTCCAGTTCCACTATAGAATCATCTAGACTCTACTGTATACTCCATTCCCCAGCTGCTGCTCTAACCCAGCTCTTGTGCTCAAGGAGTTTACCAGTTGTTTCTTTTAAGTCCTTCGCCATGCTCCACACCGATGGCCTGCGGATAAAACTTTCTTCAGCCTCTGGGCTCGGCTCGGGAAGACCACACCCAGCGCTTCCAGCCTCTAGGCTGCTTCCTCAGCAGCAATGCGAGAGGCCTCGCCATCCATCGAACGTCGGAGCGCCGTGCGCGTTCCGCGGCCACGCGGAACACGAAGAAGGAAGCAGGTGGTGAAGGAGGTACGAAGGAGGGGCGCATTCGAGCCGCCACAAGTGTCTCACATGCAGGTCCTAAAGTTTGGGTCCACAAGTTGAACACCCGTTGTCCCTGTGAGCTGTCGCGGCGTCTGTCCCAGGGTGGCAGGATGCTACAGCTAGCGCGTGTTGAATTGGCTGTGGGTCATGGCACCGCGAGCCTTCCGAAAATGAACAGAATCCTCAGGACTGAGGTCAATCTACCAGGCCCTAGGGATCCAAGTACACGGTGATTGGAGACTATTTACGTAGGCGCCAGGAGGGCCCAGTCGTACCTTCTCTAAAACCATCTTCCCCACGGTTGCGAGATTCGCTCAGGAACCAGCAAAACCAGGCTTTCCAAACCGTGGAAGAGCTGGGAAGAGTTGGAACGATCTTTCCAGCACCCCTGCAGAGGAGCCTCCAAACCAACACCGAACCGACGCAGGGTCCCCCGGTGCCTTGTCACTAGTAGCAGCATCAGCGTTGTAGGTCCTTACAGCAAAGGAAGTTGTTGGTCACCCTGGCTTGGAGGTATAAATGGCACACTCGGATTTGCTTAAGGAACCCGGACGGAAATAAACATATTCCCCAGAAGGGGATCTACCTAGGGAAAACAAAAAAGCACCTGAAAAAGCAAAACCAGGCACATGATAGCTGTTGAGAGTCCAATGAAGCCACAAAGTTGGTGGTCTCTGTGATTGCGACTCACCCATGTTGTAAATAAATTCTGTTGAGTCGCTATATATTGCACCAGGTGGTTGCATGTGCTGTTTTGGGTTCGAGGGCTTGCCGTTCATTCGTTTTTCGTCCCTGCCAAAAGGGACGACTGGCCAGGCTGAGTCGTACAGGAATTCTCTCCACCAGGCTTAAGAGGTGGGCGGCACAGCCTGAAGTCTCGGTTTTCCCAAAGGAATGACGAGAAGACCTGAAGGATGGGAGAACTCAGACGAGGCGTGCGGCGAGTTCTGTGGAACCTGACAGGAGCAAAATAAGCAAAGATAAGAGGTATATAATGTAATTAATTACTATAATTATTAATTATTAAACTATATTATGTTACTATGTAAAATCATCGATATGGCGGAACGTTCATCATCTTGCAGTCCTACAAAGGAATCACTGCATGTACACTTGGATCTTCTATCTTCCCAATCGCCCAGAAATCCCTGATCCTTTACACACTACACACACCCTGCACCGTATTCTGGTCTTTCTGCCTTTTTTGTCTTCTCCCATCCACAACTTACAACCCATATGGCCATGTAGCTGCTACATACGGAGACCTCTTTCATAGGCGTTCCGACCCCCCAGGCCTCGTCGCGAGACGGGCAGGGCAGCCCTCCTTTTGTGGGCATCCCCCCCGTTTTCACCGGCATCTCTCCCGGATGGACACGACCCACCCATCTATAGTATCTATAGGCTTTATAGGGTTTAGGGTTTTGCTTAGGGCGTTCCTCGCCGCGAACGCTGGTTTCGCGAAGGGCCCGGACGTCCGCGTCGCTCCGTTCGTCCCAGGAGCTCTGAGGTCGCCTTGGAGCCACCGACCTGCGACCGGCCCAAACACGCACGGAAGTTTGATGGGCTTTGGGCCAAACATGGGCCACGAAGAAGGAAGGCTAGGGCAAAGGTTGAGGGTCTATGACCCTTTTTCGGAGGACAAGCAACCTGTCTGAGACCGTCATGAGTCATGACCCTACAAAAACACAGTTTTTTCGTAGGACAGATCCCCCCTTTTGTGAGCCTTTCATTCCGTGAGTGGGCAAACCAAAATGACCCCAAACATCCCTAAACGATGTTGCAAAGACCTGGCATCTTTGTTGAGCATTGGTTGTTGCAATGCTTCTTCAAAGCCTGGCATCACATGAAATCGGTCAAGTTCGTCACACGAAGGGCTTCGACATCAGCGGCCGCTTTCTGGGACAGACTTTTGGAACTTTGCAGTTAAGGCTATCCAAGAGGTCTACCTCAACGTGATGATCAAACATGATCCTTGATAGAAAATTCTGCTGGAAGTCACTCGACTTATATGTTTGACCCCACCGATTCCACTTGTTATTATGTGATGTTGCTTACTTCCAGGACCCTCCAAGGCGTGTCCAATGAACTACCCCACACTACCGAAAAAGGCTTCCAGACAGGGCACCCCACGGTGTCGGGTCCTGGTTGATTTGATCTTTACACTTCCACACCTTTTCCTCTGTTCTCCAACCCCAGTCTTCCACCGTCTTCCACCGTCTTCCGCGCCAGTGAGAGGATGGTGGGCAGCAACCACAAGCCGTGCGCACCCGCGATGACCACGACCAGGAAGAGCACCTGCCACGAAGATCGAGTCCCCTGCGAATCCGAAGGCTTCAGCATGGTGAAGCCGAAGAACTGTCATGGCCGTGGGGCGAGATGGCATGTGGGTCACACCATTATACCGACCGGTTCAAGGCAGTCCTGGACTGGGTCGGGCTCACATGGTGGTCCAGGTGGGAAACCGATCTCACCCAGATGCAGAACAGCCCGGGGGTTTGGCGTTCGACTCGAAGCACGCCCTGCGGATGCGCGCCCTGGCGGGGCGCGTTGCGCTGCGTGCAACACGACGCTGCGGGTGGAAGATGGCAGAGTCCGACTTCGGAATGCTTGGAAGAAAGAAAGTGAGCAATCTTTCAATGCCCTCAAGATTCATTGATTCATGAATTCATGTGGAAGCCTCAAGGACCTCCATAGACGGAAGTTGTTTCTTTTCTTCCCTTGACAGACTCTGTGATTGCAGATATTTGCCCTTGTTTGAAAAGACCCGTGGTCGAGGTATATTGCATATTAATATGGCATAAGACATCATAAGACTCATAGACCTTTTCAGCACACCGAGCAAATCGCCCTGCAGAACAAAATACTGGGGTTTGGATGTGTTTGACATCCAATGGCATTGAAGGATGAATTCATGAAAATGCATCAAGATACAAGTCGAGAACACCCCACGGCAACTCCCCCGCATTTAGTGCTCCGTTCCCATCTTCGCTCTGCTGGCACTGCTCGTTCTGCTCGTCGCGCCTTGAAGAAGATGCGGAAGACGTAGCTCTCCGAGAAGCCGACCACCACCACCTCGGAGGTGGCGGCGACTGGCGCGAAACCGCGCGAGGCCGTCGGCTGACGGTCGGAAGCTGATTCTGTTTCCGCGGCCACCGTGGTAGAAGGCCGGTCGATCGATCCTTCCGCACGGTCGATCGGTGGGAGTCCGCACTTCGTTTGACGATCCGGGAGTCTGGATCGAAGAAATCAACTGTCTGTTGGTCCAAAAGTCCAAGAGTTTAGTGTCCCTCCAAACCAAAGGATTGCCACTCTGTTGCTCCAGGTGTGGAACTCGCACTCGGCTCACTCCCCTCTCCCGGGACCCGTCGAACCACCCCTCTGGACGACCCAGTGGCGGCCAGCAAGGTGGAGAGCACTGCGTTGAAGGTGCAAACGCCGATGCGGTCCACCGCATTGATCGCGCGCTCCCGGGGCGTCCCCGTGGACTCCTGGCCCGACTCCACGCCCCAAACTGTTGGATTCGCAGGCTCCGGCACGCCAGCGCCGGGAGCGGCAGGCGGGTGGAAGTCGATCATGCTGAAGGGGGAGAAGGGAGGAATAGGCGAACAATCATGAGAACTGTAATTTAGGGAATTACAAGTCCGGATGGGAGTTGATAGCTCGTTTGAATGATCCAGATTCACCAATTCAGACCTCTCAACACTCCATTTGGAAAGCTCTAAACTCTAGAGCTGTTGGAGCTGGTACATGAAACGATTGGTACCTAGAAATCCCACAATTCCAACGTCCGACCGGCTTCCCTTTGGCGGAGAGACAGCCGGATCCCTCCAACCACCTGTTCCCTGAGTTCATGTACAGTAAAGGTCTGAAAGATGGTCGTCTGAAAGGTGGGAGGTGATTGAAACTCTATGATGTCACAGGAAACCGATGTCTGGAAGGGGATTGACACTTACTTCTTTTCCAAACCTCTCCTTCCCTCGCAGGACTGGCATGTCCAGATCCCTATGCCAACATTGAATCTACAGTCCTTCTTACAACAAAGCAATATTGTATACAAGCAGAACATGGTCATTAAGGGAAGATGATCCATTTCCCATCGGTTTCCCAGCCCTTTGGTGCCATATATTTTCCCCTCTGCCCAAATAGGGTGGCTTTGACTCACATTCAAAGACGTTCGCCACCCGTCCTTGAACATGTGAGCAATGTGCGCAGCGTAGTCCACTGCCAGGCCAACGCAAATCAGCACGTAGATCCTCGTCTGAAAGAGCAACTGCGACGCGAGGCCAGCGGTCCGTGGTCCGAGTTTTGCACGTCCCGAGCTGTGCTCTGCTCTGCTCTGCCAAAACCGACACCCACCGGGATGTCAGTCAATTTCGTCCCCCGACCCCCAAATGTCTCCCCAATCCAAGGGAGAAGCCATTCTTCTTGTGGGTTAACTTAGGATATGGGTGTCCTGCAGAATCAGGAGACCCATGGGGCACGTGGAGGGGCGGCCTTTTTTTCCGGGGTGACCACTGGTCCAGCTACCAAGTCTGCTTACAGTAGTGGCTGCAATATGTCGCATGCAAGGCATTTCGTTGTTGTATGTTGTTGTACATCTACCTGGAACATCCTGTCTGGGTGTCCTGGCGTTCGACTACCCTACCGTAAACAGGTCTCCAGACAGGGCACCCAGACAGGGAGTGCCATGCAGGTCCGCTCCTGTCCTGTCCCTGTCCCTGTCCCGCTGCCAACCCGGGCGCGGAGGGAGCACCGTCGTGCACGGTTACGACGACGAATTGGACCATGTTCTGTGGGAAAATTCCTATTAATATCCTATGAAAGCGTATGAAAATCCGATGAAAGCTTGGAAGCCTAGGGAATCCTATCCCCTTTGCTCATCTACTGAGTCTACTGAATCTCAAGATATTGGAAACCATCTTCTCATGCTGAATCCCATCTAAAAATTTATAAAGCCTGTTCAGCTGTCATCACCTGTCTAGAGTCTACTAGAGAATACCGCTGGAGGTCCTTCCGCCTCACCCCATCCGGTTCCCATCCGGTGCCCAGTGCGCCAGGACGCGTGGAAACGCCACTGATGGTGACATCCCAGAAGTACATATAGCCCAAAGTGTCCACAATGGACAAGCACACGCACAGCACCACCTCCAGCGCCACGCGCTTTTCCCGCTCTGCAGCACGAGCACGTGCGAGGTGGATATCCCAGACACGACGTGTCTGGGACTGCCATAGGACTGCCGATCAGTTGGGGTGGTTTTGCGGGGTCAATGTAACGTAGGCATATATTGCACTTCCATGGAGTGTCTGGATATTGGATGGTCAATAGCAAGCGGTTTGGAAGCTTTCACGCTTTGTGGAGTTTCTGGGACCCGCGAATTGCTCAGTCAGTCACAAGGAGATGGCACCCATCTGTACAAAGATGTCTTGGAAGTGGGAACCAGCAACCTCTCCTCTACCAAACCGCCAAGCACAGAGTTGGTGCCCGTTGGTGAAGGAGTGTGTCTTGCTGTTAAAAACGTCTCCCAAGCTGGATTCTTAGCACATCAGCACACGTCCCATCCGCCGAGGGGCCCAAATGGCGATGCGAGGGTTGGGCACCAGCGCGAAGATCACCACCTCAGACCCACGGCCAGAGAGCGATGGATTCGGGGAAGCTGGTTCGGGGGGCGTTTTGAGTGGGTGTCCTCCTACATCTTTGAGACCTTTTTCGTGTGGTTTTGTCCAATTGGTTGGACATCATGTGAGACAAGATCATGTGAAGACGCACTCGCCCACATATCTTAGGGCGGACGTTGGTCAACCGTAGATCTTTGGGCGGACGGAGAGTTTTTTTGAGACAGCAGTTGCGGGAGTGAATTCCTGGCAGACAGGTTCTACCAATCATCTCCTTTGGAGAATCAACAAAAAGGGTCGATGCTAGATGCCTCTATGGACCTTCCTGGACCCCTTCATGGACCTTCCAACAGGTACCAGGTGGTCTCTAGAACTTTTAGAACCCTAACAATCCCATGAAGAAATCCCTAGCCGTCCCCACCAGGGTCAAGGAAAGACTCGCCTCACAAGTTGGAGGAATCCACACTCCCTAAAACCTAATCAGGAGGTGGAAGTTCAGAACAGGGCCTGGCATGGAAGGATGACCCAAATGTTTCCGAAGACCAAACAGGATGGCACTTCCAAAAAGAGAAGGGAAAAGGACGATGGTCTTTCCATTCTTCCAAACAGGTGGTGCTACTTCCAAAGGTTCCATGTTTTTCCCCCAAAACTCCTGACTTCTCATCATTTCTCCCCCGGTGCACCCCGCGCCCCAAACCGCCCCGCCCCAACCCCGCCAGTCCCCGGCCAACCCCTAATCCCCTCGTCCCCAGCACGTGCCGGGACCGTCCCAGGCACCAAGATCACCGCACCGCAAATCGCCAAGTTCTTGATGAGCTCCACATCGATGATGCCCACCTGGGAGTGGATCCAATGGCCCATCGCTGGTTGGAGTGCGTAGGTTTTCCTCCGACATGGCCCATGTTCTGCTCCTGATGGTCCGTCTTCAGGACCCCGCACGTGGACAAAAAGAACGTGCTGAATAAAGGTCAGCAGCTCAGAAATAGAGAGTCCGCCCACACCGCTTGTCGGTGCAGGGCGTGCTATTGGGGCTCTTGCCGTCGAGCTTTTAACAAAAACATCCTATGCATATAGCTCAGCTAGCAAAGGGGGGGGGCGCCTTTTTTTCGCGCGCCCGCGCGCGCGGCTATGGTTGGGCCTGGGGAGAGCGTTTTGGAGGTACATTTTTGGATGATCTTTCGTTACGTCGTGCTTGCAGGGCCACTGGGGAGAGCGTTTTGGAGGAGTTTTTGTGTTTTGGTCTTGCTCGGCTGCAGGGCCACTGAGGACAGCGTTTTGGAGGTGTATTTTTGGCAATGCCGAAGTTGATCGAAGTTGTATCACCATTATGGGCCCCAAGGTAGACGAAGTTGGCCCCAAGATGGCAACCTGGCGCCCTTTTTTTCGCGCGTGCGTGGCTATGATTGAGCTGCAGAGCCACTGGGGAGAGCGTTTTGGAGGTACCTTTTTGGATGATCTTTCGTTACGTCGTGCTTGCCGGGCCACTGGGGAGAGCGTCTTGGAGGAGTTTTTGTGTTTGTGGTGGTTGCTGCGTTGATTCTTGCTCGGCTGCAGGGCCACTGGGGACAGCGTTTTGGGGGTGTATTTTTTGGATGGCTTTTGGCAAGGCCGAAGTTGTATCACAATCATTATGGGCCCCAAGGTAGACGAAGTTGAACCTGGCGCCTAGATGGCTGCACTTGTCCCCAACCTGGCGCCTAGATGGCTACTTCCATTTCACTAACTTCGGCTGTTCGTGCGCGGTGTGGGCAGCTGTCGACGCGAAGCGTCTTGAATTCGGCCTAAAACACATCTAAAACCATGCTTCAGTGACTGAAGTGATGTTTTAAGTTTTATTTATTGTACAACGGATCGTGGCAGCACAAATACGGCGGGGGACACTGTGACCCACCGAAAAGGACAAGGAAACCTGCAACCTCCCACAAACAACTGGAGTTGACCTCCCCCACTTGCGTCAACGTGCGTCTGTCTGAGCGCTTTAACTGTTGAACTGGAGTCTGGGTGTTTGGGAGAGTTGGGAAAATATCCACTGTACACAACACCAGTCATTCAAAATCCATCTAAAATCCTGATCAAACATGCCCCTTCCAACCTCTACAAACCTCATCAAACACTCCAAACGGGGTTGGTCTTCGGAACATGGAAGACGGGGTTGGTCGGTCCCTGGGATTTCTATCCGCAGCACTTCCCCGCGACGGTCGGTGGTGATGAACAAAGGGACTTCGTCACAAACTTTCTCAGGGACAAATGGGCATCCTGTGGCGATCAGCAACTGTCCCCAGCAAGGAGGGAATGCATGCATTCTGGCATTGTTCAATGATCGTGTTTTGAACGATATCCGCCGATCCTTTCGTAACCCTCTGGAGGATCTCTGCAGTACTGTGCCAGTATGTTTAGTCCTCATCACCTCTCTGTGCGCCGGGGAAGCGGCCTCTTCCCAGTAGAGGAAGTCAAAGCTGTAGGGAAAAGCGCCAGTGTGACGCGCGGCAATCTGCGAGAGAGTCAAATTCGGCGCCAATGACCGGACTCTATTTTAGTAGATCAATCCATATAGATCTTGTAGGGGGCACCAACATCCTCAAAGGTCTTCTTTCCCTCAGTTTTAGTACAGATATTATTTCAAACTTCACACACCCTAGCCACAGCGGGATCATCAGCCCAGCAACTTTAATTGAATGCTGTTGAATGTTTGCTAGAACTGATTGCCATGGGTGTTCAACTATTCTTGGACGTTTGCCGCAAAAGGCACTCCAGCTTTCTAGCATGAAACAAACGCAATATGAACCATCCCATACTAGAAGCATCTAGAAGCCTTCCGAATATGTTCTTTTATACCCTCCCTCCAGTCACGGAAGCGAAACATGTTCCGTCCTTCCATCCAAGGATCCTTATTAGAGGCTACAGTGTCTGTCGCATGGAAGTGGAACATGGCTGTGGAAAAAAAAAGAATCCTTCCTTTTGACCTATATAAAGTGACCTACTAAGTGATCTAAGTGGTTCTTCACTTCCATGTTTTAGGTGCCTAAAACCCTCGGCCAAGGGCACAATTCCTCATGGCAGCATGGCAACGGGACCGCCTCGTTCCTCATGCTGGTCATGGTGTCATAGCGGTCGGTGCCTCGGCCGAACGAAGAAGGAGGCCGCATCGTCCCGTCCCTGGGACGAAGTGAATTAATGAACTGTCACATCAGAGCTGTCTGCTCGGTTCAATGAGCCCTTTATGTTTCTCTCCCATCATGCACATTCTGCCCGAACCTGGAACGCATGCGCACCAACTCTAAGGTCACCAAATTCCAAACCAAACTACGTCGTTTTCTCGGTCGGGACCCTCCGAAGTGGTCGGTACGAGTCCTTCTGCAACCCTGAGAGGATGTAGATTTAGATCGCCATAGAATGAGTCCAATAACGTGTCCAGGAGAGAATACGCAAGGGATACACCTTTCTGATGCTCCAGGTTTTTCACGGAAAAAACAAACTACACCGATGAGGACTTCGGACTTTCCATGAACCGTTCTTCTCCACATGAGCTGGGGAGTCCATCAGCGACAAAGCCGAGGTGCGTGGTGATTCCCCATCATGCTATGACAACGTGATTCACCAAATATCTGATGCTTTAGGGACTGTTTTTTAGCATTGACACGATCCAGGTTCAACTCCAAGAAGAACCACATGTCGCTAAGAATCGGCGGTGTTCCCCCAAATCTAACCTGTCTCATGCCAAATCTAGCTAGGATCTAGCGATTGAGCCTAGAGTTCCTTGGCACTTTTTCGAGCGCCCAGGAACCCCTGTCAGTGGCTGCCAAGGAAAGCTCCGCATTGAAGCGGCTCGCCATGATCCCATCCGTCCTGGGCTCTGTGGACAAGGTCCACAGCGGACGATGACGTGGGTATATCCCAGACACCCCAGACACCTAGTCGGCCCAGTGGATGAGGCTTCCATTGATCTCTATATTTTCGTGATGTTTACCGTGCAAACTGGGACACCCTGTTTACCGTGCAACATGCTTTTTTCATGATATCAGCCTCAGGAATCGGGTCCAAACCGGTCAGTGCCCGCCGCACTCAGTGCCCGGCACAGTGCAAGCAGCGGGGACGTTGTCCATGCTGCTCTCCACTTCGCAGTCCTGTTCCGACCGAGCACACGTGGCGCGACCATCGGCCGACGCCCTGGTTCCGAGACTCACATGGATCCTGAAAACCACGCCCGGTTTGTAAAGGAAAACAACCAGTCGTCCAGTCCGGTCCATGCCATAAGCTTCCGTGTACGGTTTTTTTTGCTGGGTATACTTCTGGAGGTCCTGAGGGTCGGGATTGGGGGTCCACCTTCCCTTTTAGCCTCTCAGGTCTCTTGAAACACCGGACCTGTGTTCCATGAGATTACCTGTCCATGATGCGAGAAAGTACCACCAACAACATGATAGAAGAATCGAAGCCACCAAATACCTTTCGATCACTCCACCCACCGGAATCAGGAATTCCTGAGTGATTTCAATCTGTGTCATACGGAGTCCAAGTCCTCAGATGAGTCGAAAAGAAACCTGAGGGCCAGGCCATCGTCAGTAGGTTGGAGGCCATGCCTATTAAGGTTGCATCGCCATCTGTAAGAGGAGTAGAGTACCAAATGATCATAGAAGATCACTGCATTTTGTCTGTAAGATCCTGTAACATGTCGCACGCTTGGATGCTTGTGGACTACCAGAAGTAAACCCTGATGGGTGAGGTTGCCTGGATAGAGCCTCATCCCAGCCGCTCAGCCCGAACCGCTGAAGACACAGACTTGCTTTCTCGCCAAGCCAAGCTGTGGCCGGAAGACAAAAAAGGAGCTCTCATGAAACCTTGAAGGAGCTCTCATTAAACCTTGAAAGGAGCTCTCATGAAACCTTGAACTCCACATACTGCTCACAAAATCACCTTTGGTTCTTGACAAAGCACTGTCTCAAAATCACCAAAACGTATTGACAACACCTGCCCTCCCCCAACGAAAAAAGAGGCCCTCAGAGAGATGCACTCCCCGCCTTGTCATTCCACCGCAGGGAATTCCGATAGCGCGAACCCACAGTGGTGCGGTACCTACGAAAGAAATGGCACACTCAAAGCGAGTCGAGCCTTTGGCTCAATGAACGGATTCATATATGGCTTCATCTATCTTTCCTGTAAGCGAGTCCATGCGAGTCCCCACCTTAATCACCTTCTCGCAAGAACAAACCTTCATCAAGCCAAAGTCATTTCATAAACCTCACATAAGCAAAAGTCAAACAAACCGTCATCACCTTCACCATCCTACCTCAGCAAAACCCCAATTTCCACCAATTCCTCAGCGAACATTGCCGAACATCTCTTGTCCTTTTCACTTGGTCTTTGTCAAAAACCGGGTCCGCACCACAAGTGCAAGGCCGTGTAGAATTGGTTCTTGTTCGTGAAGACCGCATTGGCCGCCGTGCGCGAGGGGGTGAAGCTATCGCTGGCAGTTGCGGCCTGACTCCATCACTGCATCCATGGAACTGGAAGAGTTCCATACATTTACCATCATTTACCCCATCTACCAGCACCCGACTCAGAAAAGGTCTCCGAAATGGAGGGGTTATATTATATATAAAATATACATCTTAAACAAGAAATCCTCAATTATACAATTCAAGTCTGCCGGAAAATCCAGGTCAAAATTCATGTATATATTGCTAAGATTATTGCTATATAATAACAATCAATTAGCAGGAGCCTGCCTCTCACTCCATGAACAGCCAACTCCCAAGCAACATCTCACTCCCAAGCCAACTCTGGGGCTGCTGGGCGATGACCGCGCCAGCGAGAAACCGAGCCACGGCCGAGCCCAAACAGCCACCGTCCACACAAGTGGCTGTGTTGTCGAACGTCGGAAAGCCTTTACATCAAGGATATTTTTGTTAGAAAGAGGTGCTAAGTGGCAAACAAAGCGTACCTTGTATTGCAGAGGTCTCTGCGGCTTTGAGTTCAGCCCATGCTTTGAGTTCAGCTGATCATAGTTTTCCGACCTCCACCCACGATCTGCCCTGCCTGGTTGGGCTCAGTCGCCCATTCCATGAACTCCTGATACCAGCTGTCCACAGTCACATCCTGATGTGCGGCAAAAAACTGGCGCAGGCCGCAAGAACTTTGACGATCTTATCATTTTGGAACACATGATGAAGATTCCACTCCAGGTTGGGAACATCAAAGACATTCCCCACGCACGATGCCCCCCATGTTCCATGGCTCCCAGTATGCCAGGATATGCCAGGAGTCAGGGTTGATGAGGCTGCTGCTGTTCAGATATCCATAGACGTCATGGAGGTTGCTCTGCATCTCAAAGGCATCCGGCGAGGCTGGGAAGTTCACCGTGATCGGTGTGCCTCGACCGAGGTGGTCGGGAAGGTGGTCAAACACCCTGGGGCTCAGATGCTCAGATTCATCATGGAACTCACCCCTGAACCCTGAGGGTGATCGGATCAACCATACCAACCATGATGAACATATTACATGTTCGGTTTACTTAATATAGTAGTTTGATATAGCAATCCATTTCATTTTGAACTTCTGCAAATAAATAAACATCCTCTGTCCCTTTAAGATCCTTTAAAATCACCCAACGAACCCTCGGGTCATGGCCATTTCCCCACCACCATCGGACATCGATCATCGGACATCACCCGCCACCACCGTCCAAGAGAAGAAACGCGGCCGGAGAAGTAATGTGGAACACATTGGATCCCCAAAACATAATACGCCACAACCCAATCCCAAATCAAACACATCCTTACTAGTAGTAACAAGTGCCACGCTAGTAGTAACAGGTGCCTTACTAGTAGTAACAAACTAGAATTAAATCAAATCAAACACATGAAAAACCTCCATCCACCAACCCCAAAAAAGAACCCGTCTCATGGCACGTCTGTCCGATCGACTCGTTCCCCCAACCAACCGCGGCCCCGATCGACTCGCCTGTGGCGAAGTTGTCTCGGTTGATCACGAAGAACGTGTTCCTCGGGTTCCGGCGGCTTCCGGCGTGGGCAGATCTGCACAAAGCAACAGTGTGAAAGGATCCATCCGAAGGATCGTGCGGCCTAAAATTCGTGAGGCAAACCAAGTGCATCGGCATCGATGATGGTACAGGGTTGTCTTTGAGAAATTCTCTTGATTCATGCCTGCTCCATCTACGGAGTGCGCAAAGTCTACAACATGACCCGCGAACACAGTACCTTCGGCCAGGTGGTGCGACCCATGCAGGAGTCGGACATGTCTCTCTTAGACCAATGCTGCATGTCGGGTCAGCGCCAGCGCCGCCGAGGCGCACGTAGGAGGAGTCTGGGATGAACCACTCCAACTTGAAGTCCTCGAACGTCCAGGTCTCCGACGATCCTCGTCCCCTCTCCGTCCCACACGGCGGGGCCCAGGGGCCCGTCGACGGTCGAACGGCGCCTTGTAGATCTTGGTGGTACCAAAGATGCCGACCCCGGTGATGATGGCGAAGATGATCAAGGTCAAGACCTAGGAACAAGCGCACCGAGACGGAGGACGTTCTTGGTTTCGTAGAAAACAGGAAGAAAGGATAAGAAAGCATGAAAATGCATGAAATGAATAATGATGTCTATAGTACACCTCGTACGCTGCTCTCTAGCAAGACTCTTTGTGCATGGAGATCCACGAGAATGGTCCAATCTCGGATTCTTTTTTGCTCGGGTGGTGATGGTCGTCAAGCCAAGAATGTAGAAAGATTGAATTCGCAGCCCTGGGCCACTCACCTGTCCCACTGGCTTGGTGGTGTGCTCCGTGAACTTCCTCAGGCCTTGCACCGCCCCGATGACGGCGCCCCAAAGAAAACCAGGTGGACTCGGCTCTGAACCATGGACTCGGTGTATATTATGTTATGTATATCACTGTATATCGTATTAGAATGTTTTAGATATCTTTCTATAGCGGTTTCAGTTCGATGGCACAACCCCCCAAGTTTAGGTGGTCTGGTTCAGGAATGGGTTCCCCCCTCTAAATGACATCTTGGGGGTTGTGCCATCTACTCTGACACCACTCTATATCTTTTTGTGTGTGGTGTTGGGCCATTTGCTTTGATGCAATCATCGATGTTCCAACAGTGAGGATCAAGGAGAAAAACTGGTGCCTTTTCCAGCCAATAGGCTTTTCCGTCCATGCGTCCTCTGAAACAGTCCTCAGGCACATCGATCTCCACGAGCAAACCCCAACAAAACCAACAAACGTGTCGAGATCTTCGCTCTTCCCCGTCCCGACCCTCTCAGTTCCAACGTTCCGCGCCGGACAACCGGCGCCTGGGTTTTTTCTCTCAAAGACTCCGTGACCAGAAAGGGGCGACCCTCGTCTGGATCTGTAGACTTGGGGGGGCCAAGTATGCCTTTTTGGGGCCAAACTTCAGAACCAAGGACCATGGATGACCTGATGATACCTGATGCATGGAACCATGCCGCAACATGTCATATAGATGTCACTAGCCCCATGGGGAGGAAAACAACGAGCCCCCCCCACACTCACTTGCGAACTGTCCATGTCCGCCCCTCATGACCCTTCCACTTATGAGGGGTGTCAGAGGGTAAACAAGCCCCCCCAAAAAAAGCTCGGAGAACGACCGGTGTCGGTTTTCCACGGCCTTTCTTCAGGACGCCACCCTTGAAGGCCTCAGGACTTTTCAAGCAATCTGATTTGTCTGACAGTCAGACAACGTCTGCGAATCGATCTGCATCTGTATCATCTGTTTTTTGCTAAAAAGGGTCTTGCACCTCAAATCAAGTGGCTCGAGATACAAGACAAAAGGATCCCAAATCTGGAAACTTGAAGTTCACTGCAGCCAGCACTTCCTTTTCATTCAGAACGTGCATGTCCTTACTATTTGTGTCCTTCTCTCAATGCCTCTCTTGCACCTGAAATCACCTGGCATGGCAAACGGATACAATATCGGTCCCAGATCTTGAACACTTGAGGTTTCTTGAAGGCATCAAAAACCACAAGCTACACCAATGACTATATTATGACTATATATGACTATATAATTGACTCCTCAACTCTAGAAACCTCTGCTAAATCCGCCTTTGCTTCACCAAGCTCCTTTCCACTGCTCGTCGCCGTCAAAAACGTCGAGCTGAGCGGTTCTGGGCGACCCGGACGGACTTGGGCAAGCAACAGCAGCAGCAGCCCTGGGGATCTTCCAATTCCTTAAAGCCACGGCCGTTGGCACTCCGGACGCCCGCGGCGTGGGAGGGGGGAATTCCAAGCCGGCCCACGGAAGAAGGCAAACATGAAAGAGAGGATAGTAGCTCGGATAGCAAATGACATGATGATGACATGATGCCAGCAGTTCCATGCAGTTGGGTACTTCATAGAGATAGAGAGGGGTGCACCTGTCACATTCACTCACTGGATGGGTGTCAAAACCAGCCCTTTGGAACTCCTGGTTGGAGTCCCCCCCCCCAAAAAAAGGCAGCGATGGGGATTCTTACGGGCCTCCTGGCGCCATCCAACCAATCCCTTTCAAAAGGGTGGCCACTTGGCCATCTATGATGGGTTGGATTGCCGAGTCGTCGAGTCGTGCCGGCTTGGAAGCGTGGTCCCAGTGATCTCATGGTCCTCATGGAATGACCCTCAGGTCCGTGTTGCCCACAGTCCATCTATGTCCATCTCGTTCACAGTCAACAGATGTCAAGGGATGTCAACAGATGTCAACATCTGACTTCAAGTCCTTGCTGCCCAATCGACTCGCTCCTTGACCTTGAAGCAGCAGCAGCAGTCCACGCGGTTGGAGGCGGTACCTGCCGCTCAAGCAGCCAGAAAACGCTGGCTTGGCCGGTTGGTCATGGCACCTCTCCGAGGACCTCTCCCAACAAACCCCGGAAGGTTGACCTTTGCAGGTCATCTATCAGGATCATCCAGTCTGCGTGTCCTGGCGTTCGACTACCCTACCCGTAAACAGGTCTCACAGGGCACCCAGACAGGAAGTGCTAGGTATCAGATCATCAGCAGGAATTTCAAGCTACCAGTCCTTGCTGACGCTGCTTGCTAACCCTGCCGACCGCTGCTGTCCGGCCCAAGAACCACCCTGCTCGGAGACACGCCGCGGAAGTGGCTGGACTGGTTCGGGGCACGTCGGGCGTTCAAGGCCAGGCAGGGCAAGAAGACGGTCAGCTGGAAGGTGTAGCAAAGGACAATCGAGACACCTGGGGGCCATAGGTCGGCCCTCGGTGGTGAACCTGCAAAGAACAATTGGTTTGATAGCTCAATGTCAAGCAACCCCCGGAACCAGGAGGTCTGCCACAGTTCTGCCAATGGAATGGAGGGCAAGTAGTAACTGGATTAACTGGATGGATTTGGTGATCCTTTGCCCTGTCATCCATGTCATCCGTTCTAATTCCCTCGATTTCCCTCGCGTTGAAGTCGACCTGCTGCAGATCGGACCGATCGACTCTACCGTGGACGCGTCGTCGACGACGCGTGGGACGCGGCCACAGCCTGCGTAGGTGCAGAACCAGCTGAGTGCTGGGAGCACCGTGGTGGCGCCCACGAGGAAGGCCAAGGCGTCTGTGGCAGAGGTGATCAGCACCTCGGTGGTGGGTGGAGGGGGAGGTGGAGGTGGAGGTGGTGGACGTGGAGGTGGAGGTGGAGTGGAAAGGGCTCCCTTTTCGGTGTGAGAGGATGTTCCGTGCTTCTTTCTTGATATTTCTTGCGGAGGTTACACACATGGTTACATTGCAGCACAGAGGAGAACTTGGGAGGTTGATTCAAAGCTTGGATGTCTTGTTTCAAGAGTAGACATGATTGAAGGTTTTTCTATGTTTTCTAGAGGTCGCTAAAGGTGATATAGTGTACCTCATCCAAGTGAGACTGCAACTGCAACCACTCACATGGATCCTCAGGCTCATCTTCACCCATGGCACTGCTGAAAATGGTGGAAAGCGGTGCTCAGGCTTAAGCACCAGCAGGCGTTGGGTCCCCCTCCGCTCTCATCCCGCCGAGGCTCCGAGATGCCACCGGTGCGGGCGGTCCTCGCGATGAGCTCCGGCACACTGAGCTCCGCCTGCCGAGGCGCGCAGCGGCAAAGCAGGGATGGACTGGGAGGTGCAGGAAGCTGGGAAAAGTCATAGATCTCATTCACCCAATTGATGCACATAGAAATCGCATCAAATAATTTAACAGATCACCTTATAAGGTTAAAACCAGGAAGATATCATACGAGATATATATATATATATATATACGTTACTTAAGTCACTTTACCATGTGTTAACATCGTTTAAACCTTCTTTTCAGGGCCGCAGTCGGCGACTCGCCTCAAAGCCACCATCCCGGGGTCTGTCGATCCACGGGATCAGGGCCCGATCCGGAGGAGTGCGTTGGTCTGTTTGAATGGTCGGCGTCCCCAACGTCCGGAATCATACTGAATGGTGGAATGATGCTGAATGCACTAAGTTGCGACCAAAAACCACCGCAGCTTGCTGCTTAGCTGAATAGTTATCGCGCAAAGCTCATGACAATGCAAAGGTTTAGACCATCTTTAATCTATGCACGATATCTATGGTTAATTACCTTTTCCAACTGTTGGGTGTACGTCTGTCTCCATGCAGCAGAACCAAAGTGCCCGGATGTCGCACACTGGAGTCCTGGGATTTTCAAACCAAAAGTTAAAACAGAAAAAAAGTGCCCGGGTGCCCGTGCTGGACATGTTTCTGAACCTGACTGTGGGTCATGGCACTGGTCATGGCACTGGTCGGATCCGCTGGAAGGTCGTGAAAAAAGGACCGGTCGGGCGAAGGGTCACCACGTCTCCCACCAAACGCCCGAGAGTAAAGCAGGATGTGGCGCATGGAGTAAGCAGGAAGCCCATGGATCATCAAAGTGGTGGATCGAACGTTTGGATCAGCTTGGTAGAAGACATTGACCAAGACCATCCCATCATCCAACTTTGGAAGATGTTCATATATTAGATGTTCCCTTTCTACTCAGTGCTTAATGAAAGATAGCCAGGAGTTGCCGGATCGAACGACATCACGGCGGAAAACCCGGCGGATCGATGGGTGCTAGCAGGGTGTGGATCACAGAGCGCCTGGGAGTTGCGTTTGTGAGTCAAGTACTCGCTGGTCAACACGAAAGCATCATCCACACCCAAGCCTCGGTCTCTTTCGCCCGTCGGTCTAAGTCTGTGAGACGAATGGATGGCGCCCGCCCACCTGTTGACCTGTTCAAAGAGGGTGTTGTTGAGTGGTTTTAAATGATTGGCATCACCGAAGTCAAGGAAATTCATGGAAATTCCCTTTCGGGTCACCCAAAGACTTCCAGGGTGTAGTACACACGAACATGGTTTACGAAGCATGCTCAGAATTAGTTGGTTGGCAAACACATTTTGGAATGTAGCTAAGACACGCATGGCATCACATGTACCTATAGATCTTGCGCTCCCCCGACAAGACAAACCATCTAGACAAACCCGACAAGTTCAACCATCACACGCCGGCGAAGCCTGCTCCAGCCGTAAGCCGTACCTCGAAGGTCTTTGGAATCCTCAAAGGTCTTCCCCAGACCCACTGAAGCGAAGCTACGACTGCAGCCCTCTTAGAAAAACAGGCCTCCAAATACCATAATATACCACCAACGCACCAACGCGTGCAGCATGCAGGAGGCCCTCCGGCCCTCCAGATCCCTGAGCAGGTGGGACTTGCGGAGACACACCACTGATCATCGCAACAAAAAAGGCCTCCTCCAGGCCACGTGCACTGCGGACCGCGACCATCCGCGACGTCATCAACTGGACTTCCAGGCTTTGTGTGTCTTATTGTTTCTCCTGCCGGGTGGCCCAAGAGCAGGAAGTAGAGGTTGTTGTTCAAGTTACCTTGGACCGCGGAAAAGTGCGGCACTTCATGTCATCTGAAGCACGGGGCAATGAATGCGGTGGGACGATCTGTGCGGTGGGGGGCATGTGCAACAAAGGGATGGATATGGACGTCGATCCCCGTTGCGGAGAATCTTGGATGCACAGCTTGGGCGTTCGGGGTTGAAGAAAAGACTGTGAGACATTCTGAGCCGGAATATGAGAGGATTCACACCCTTTTCATCTTTCATCTTCCTCCGATTCCGCCCATCTGCCCCCCACGTCGCCACCACGTGGCCGTTGGGCACCTGGAAGTAGCCCATCAATCCCAAGGTGGAGGCGATCGTCAGTCCGACGATGCCCACCGCCACGAAGGCCATGGCGGCGCCGCTGTGCACCGCGTCGCACTTGCCCAGCATGAACTCGGCGGAGCCGAGCGGACCGTGTTCAGCCGGTGCGGGGGTGGACGGAGGGATACGGATGGCGGAGACGTGGCAGGTGAGGGTTTGGGGAACGGGGCCGGGAAGTGGTGGAATTGAATCGGTGAAAGTGGGGAGGCCCAAACCACTTCCTCCTTCTCAGGTATCCAATCCGGCTGAAACAAAACATGTACACTCCTCATGTCACTCACATGCACCCGGGTTTCATGGCACCCTAAGTCCAACTGCTTTCCTCTACAAACATCTACAAACCAGTGGTTTTCAGGGTCCATGTGGAGTGTTCAGCGGGGGGCACCTCCCCAACCCGGAGTTTGAATCCACCAAGCCCGGAACCGACGTCCTTGGATCATTGGATCCAAAAGGCTGGTGGTTGGATTTACTCCAGCAACCAGGGAACTAAAGAGATCTTCAGAAGCGGATTCACTGACCGGGCCAACGAACCATCGCCTGATCGCCTCAAAACCGTTCGGGTGAGTCCCGACCGTTCCTGTGGCTCCGTCTCCGCCCTCTCTCAGCCAAAGGACGGCGCAGTACACCTCAGCTGGGCCAGAGCTTGGTGAAACGAAGCAACGAGACCCAGGTTTCGACCGGCTTTCGAAACCCCAGTTTCAGGCTATAAGGATCATAAGCTATGAGCATGTATGTTCTATACCAGGACCTTCCAAACAGGTGGGTTTTAGGGACACCCCTTCTAACCTTTAGTAGGAGGCTATTATATTTATATTCGCATTAAGCACCACTCCAAAGAGGCTTCTGGTCACCGCTCTTCGGAACGAACGTTTTTCTCATAGACCGAGTCCCCAGGGCCAAATGGCCGAGCCGAGCCAGATATCCATCCAATGGCCTTCCAACCCTCTGCTCCCTCTGCAAACAATGTTTGGCAGAAAAGGACTCCTCGCGTCGCGGCTTTTTATCCGGACGAAACCGCTCCACGCGCGGAAAGATCCGGTGAAGGGAAAGACCCGAAATCGGAAGTTCATGTTAAGCTCTCGTGTCCCAAGCCACGATGATCACGCCATAGGAGGCCGTCAGCTTGGAGATATCTCCGCGGATGGCGTTGCCGAACTCGTCGCCCAGCGACCGCTGGAAGAGGCCTGGGAGGTGTGACGTCGCGTTCGTCGCGTCCAGCGGGATACTGGATCATAGGTCCTGAGGGGCCTAAGCCAAGCATGAAAGAGATAGAAATGGCTCCAAAATGCTGAAACTGCTCGGCAAAATGGGCCTGGAATCTCCCTGGAAAACACCGAATCAGTGAAGAATCTGTTGCTTCCTGTGCTGGTTAGTTTCTTTCCACCTGGAACCTTTCAGCAAAATGTTCCACAAAAACACCGGGGGAAGGATCCACTAGGTGTTTGAATATGTGATATCGACATGTAAGGAAGCAAAGACAAGAATAAATCAATATGTCATTGTACATCCGTAATTAGTTGTAGCCTGTAGGGTAAGTATAGAAGTACTATGAAGTACTGTTACTTTATTCTACGATTCCATCCAATTCGGAACATGCTTTGCTGTGCTCAGGAGACTTTCAGAACCTCCAAAACCCCACAGCTGATTGGACAGAATACCTACTCTAGGAGTCCAACCACCATTGATTTAGTAGCCTTTGCCTGGTTTGACTAGGGCTTTTTCCCTTCAATCCAGGTCAACCTTTCTTTTAATGATCTTGCAATTGCTAGGGGCCTATAGATCGGCGCCACAGCGAGAGTCAACTGTCAACCCCTTCTTTTAGCCGTCGCCCCTCCCCTCGCACAGAAAAGCCCCTCATCCTTCCAAGAAAAAAGAACGATTATGCCGCCACATCTGCCGCCCTTCTATCTCCCTCGCTCCATCTCCCTCGCTCCAGATCTGGATCTGGATCTGCAGCTCTCGCCGCCCAGCGGCCGGAGAACTTGAGGATGCCGTCCTCCTGACAGTCCAGCTTCGGCTTCGCCCGGGAGTCCGCATCGATGCCCATCCTGAGCATCGGGGCAATCCGGTGGAAGTGCAGCTCGCTGCCTTCGAGGGTCGAGGGTCGGGGGCTCGACCTGAAAACTCCACCTACTAGGGATGGCCTCCAACCGATGTTGCTTGCCAGACTGGCATACCAGTCCCATTGTTCGTGGACCTGCCGAGCCCCGGTGGACCCGCGGAGCCCCGGTGGACCCGCGGAGCCCCAGTGGACCCGCGGAGCCCCGGTGGACCCACGGAGCCAATCTGAAGAATGGTTCAATCAGCGAAGTGGCAAGCACAGCGCACGGCGTTCCCACTCATCCGCCACAGGGTCGTTGACACCGGCCGTCGGGCAATAGAGCTCCTCCGTCGACCAGAAGGGTCGAATGAGTGAAGAACAGACTCAGAAGCATGCATGACCTTTTACTTGAATGGGTCTGACAAAATATGAAGTGTCCCAGGACCAGCCAAGTTTGGATTGCCAAGACATGTGAACAGTGATTCCAAATGCGGAATAGTCTCAACATGTCTCAAGAAGACTCTATATTTGTCTACTTCATGCAAATTGTTGATCATTTCCTTACTTGCTTAGGCCTCATAAATTCTGCTTTGCTAAAACAAGCTCAGCTGTTAGTAAGAAAGCAAAACCGCTTCTTATAGAAAATCTCTGTAACGTAGGAGCTTCTCAACGATTTCCTTCTTCAATCAACGTCGTCACTATGACCGAACCTGTCGTGCTCCCTCGCTCTTGCCATTGCTTCCTCTTGAAGTCTTCATTGCATGGTTCTTGGATTCACACCTCTCCCATCCTTTCAGTTTCATGATCCCATTCCTCGCCAAAATTCGATGCATAAAAAGCCTATAGCAGCAACAGAACTAGACCGCTAATCTGATAATCCTAGCCAATGAACTTCATTCCGGCTTCTCTGGATGACCCGTCTTGCACCTGCTTGTTCAAGGCCCAAAAGCCAGCGATGTGCTTGCCACCCGCATATTCCCAGGTGCTGTCCGACACCTCGGCGGCTTGCCACTCGTCCGAAGAAGAGCCGGTTCTGCCGAAACTAGCGACAGTGCCGTGCATCTAAAACATAAACCTACAAATACCTGGGGTGTCCATTTCAACAAGCACCTGTTAGGGGCCCGATCCCAGCCAGAAATCAAGGGAATCAGGTTATCAAATTTCGCGAGCAAAGGGGGCATCCCCGTTCCAACCATATTGAAAAAAAATATAACATTAAATCAAGAACAGGGATATGGTGGGTGTTGGTGTGGATTTCGACGTCCGGAGGCTGCGCATATTGTTTGAGTGGCGTGCTGGAGTTGGAAGTTCACCCCAAGATGTGGGACAAACAGCAAACAGCAAAACAATTAAAACAACATACATGCATACAGCATACATGCCTTACATGCACAGAACATCACAGAACACTCGTCAGTGACAAGTGATGCAGTGCGGTGTAAAGTGTAAACAAGTCAAATCAAAGAAACTAAGTCCTAAGTGGAACCAAGTGGAATCAACTGGAACTACGTGGAACCAAGTGGAACTCTGTGGAACCCAGCGGAACTAAGTGGAACCAAGTGGAACTAAGTGAATCTGTGTTTTCCCTTCACTTTGTCAAACAAACAATTGAACACAGTGGAACCAAGTGTGGAAACCTTATCTATGTAGCCCACATAGCAGTGGAAACCATGTGCATTGCTTTCAGTTAGTTGTGGTTTCCACTGCTATGTGGGCTACATAAATATGGTTTCCGCTTAGTTCCACTTGGTTCCACTTAGTTCCACTTGGTTCCACTTCGTTCCACTTGGTTCCACTTGGTTCCACTTAGTTCCACTTGGTTCCACATAGTTCCGCTTGGTTCCACTTAGTTCCATTTGGTTCCACTTCGTTCCACTTGGTTCCACCAGGTTATCCCACCTGGCCACAACTATACGTCTGGTGGTATGTTCACCCCACGACGTCCGGATACGTCCGGATACTTCGAAGTTTATAGTGTAACTTTCGCACTGCCGGAGGCTGCGCATGGATTGTTTTCTCCCTGTGTTTGATGTGGTGTTGCAAACATCTTTGGTCCTGGGTCTCTCAAAGCCTCAGATTGAAATTCGACAAAGTTTTGGCACCTATGACGTTCAAAATATGTTACCATGATAAGATACAGAAATATATCAGAACAAAACGCACTGTACCCACAGTTCAATCAAACATATGTATGCATGCAAGCTGCGGTGGTTAAAATAACAAACAGGCCCTGGGAACCAGGACCTCGTGAAATTTGATAAATCAGGTTTTCGAGGTTTAAGGTGTTATATAGTCTTTGGAACCAATGGGGACATGGAATGCAGCTCACATGTTCCAACTTCAGCCCATCATGAGCGAGCAGGCTTTCGCTCCGGCTTGGTTCGTTTTGGTTTTCGAGCGCTTTTAGATGCTTTTAGGCTCGGGAGGGGCGGCTAGGCTTGGCTACGTAGGCCCGGCAATCTGATCGGTTACCAGGCAGGCCACAGGAAGAGTGTTCAAAAAGGATCTCTTGCTCAAGGCCCCGAATCCGCGGCACACCGTTTGTCCAGAAGTGCTCAAGCGATCCCGAAAAGCCACGTGCAAAGCTGGAGGTTCTCAGGCAGCAGGCCGAGGTCAGAACGTCCAAGGGTCCAGCGTGTGGGACTCAATCCAGCGAAATCACCACCACTGACCAGTCAGTGCACACGCGTGCACAAGGCATTCGAGGCCTCCAGATGGTCTCACTTGCTGCAGCACCCTGCATGTTAAGGCAGGCTTGTATGTTGCCACGGCACTACAGGCGCTCTTATATGAAGTACCCACCAGCACAAGCTGTCATTGATGACGACAGCCAGAGCGCCAAGGGAACAGCCAAAGCGAATGGTAGTCTTTTTGCGGCACTTGATTGGTAAGTTGGTGGCATCATGTGGCATCAGCATATTAGAGGGCGCGCTTTTCTGCGTGAGCAGAGACATTCAAATCATAATATGATCCTGGTAGGACTCGAGCCTACAATCCCCGGCTCCATGGGCCTCGAAAAGGTAACAACTACTTCCGCCTGGTCAAAGGACAAGCCTGGCGAACTGCTTGTTTCAAAGCAGTATAGGAAAGGGATGCTGGACCAGTCAAACATCAACAGCAAGGAACAAAAAATGAACCATGTACACACGTAAGTAGCTACCCGTATACCACACCGCATTACACCATAATGCACCATCTTTAGCATACTTTAGCTAATATATATATATATACCATTGATCACCGGTGCCTTGCGCCCCTTCAACCCGGCCACTCCACAAAAACGTCCAGGCGCCAAACCCAGACCACTCTCCACGTGCCGCTCACTGGTGGACTCGAACAAACCCCATGTGTTTCAGTCCCACCCACCGTCGCCTCCCGTTGGTCCACCCCGCGAGGAGGAACCGACAGCGACCGCGACCGAACCGACAGCGACCGACAGCGACCAAGCGAGGCGCCAATCCTCCCACCATGGTCTTAATCTTCGTCGGCTGAAACTCGAAGGCGCTCTCAGGTGCTTCACCTGGATCCTCCGACGCGACACGACCGATGGGTGCGGGCAAACGTGTGGGGCAGGGGTTTGTGGGCGCACGTGGGGGCGACGGCGGAGGGAGAGGGTTCCGGAGTGTTTCTGATTTTGACGGCGTTTGTTGTTAGGTTCACGTGGGTTCGCGGTTGGGGGACAAATGGGAACAACTCACGCCAGGGACACCTAGTTACTTTCTAGGGGTGTCTAATAATAGCTCGATGAAATCATAACACGACGTTCCACATTGTTTTTTTGGAAAGACCTGCGATGATGTCAGTGCAACTTTGAAGGACTCTACTGTACTCCCTGGAATGGAAGTGGATGGCAATACCAAACAGGTGGTGAACTCCACTTCCATGATTCCTTCAGGGAGTGTAGCAGTTTTTCAGAACGCGGCCGAATGTGGGACCGCATGGGTTTGTGAAAGAGTGATTCTCAGGTTGTAGCTGCTGTTTCTTGGGGTAGCTCAGCTCCAGCTGTTTCATCAAGTAAGTCTAATTACGGCTTACGGCCATCGCCACCAGCGCCACCCCCCAGTCATACCACCATCCGGACCATCTGGGTGCTGCCGGATCGCCCAGCCCGCATCCCTTGGTTAGGGATCAGCCAGGGATTCCCTGGCTCAGGACAGACACGTATGTACAGTGGATGGTCCAGGGACGCGTTGACTTGGTCCATCCTCCGATTCATCCGATTCGCGACCCACGGTCACCCCCCGAAAACGAGCACGATGAGCACGAGGAGCACAAGACACGGGGGGGCTAAGGTGACACTGGGTCTCACTTGCGCCTGATGTAAGAGAAGAGAACCATCCCTGTACTTCATGCTCTGTGAAGCCATTCGCGGTGCTCCGTAATGCTTTGTATTTGAAGGATTCGGACCCTCAAACAACAGGGTTTTGAGGGTACCAACCTCTGGTACACAATGGAGGGTGCAAGGATCCTTAGGGTAGATTGAACTCATGAAGCTCAAACAACAGGCCATTCTCATCTCATTCTAACACCAGCCCACCCAACTCCTAGATCAACATCCGCACCACGAAACGGGGCACCAGCTCGAGTCCCAGGCCGGATCAGCCGGGGCTCCGTGTTCAGCATCCCGCTGGCCGTCGTGGTGCTGATGGAGCTCAGGGATCCCAGCTGGATGCAGCCGCGATCCTGCCGTTCATCCGACTCATCCGTTCATGAGAGAAGGAAACCCTTCATGAAACGTCCCACCTGTTCTGGAAAGATGAACAACCAGTTCCGATGTTCCGATGTTCCAACCTACCGGGCCTATCGGGGTCATACCAGGACACATGGATGTGCCCGACGGGTCGGATCGGTGCCGGTGGTGCGGCGTTTTCGCTGGGGCCCGCCGCGGTGGGGCGGTTGCCTTGGTTTGGTTGGTCCAGCGACACGCTTGGTGATCTGATTGGATGTCAGTATTGTAGTGTGAAGTAAGTAAGCAAGTTGGTTAGTGTAAAGTGAGTAAGTATTAAGTAAGTAAGGAAGGAAGTAAGGAAGGAAGGAAGCAAGCAAGTCAGTCAGTCAGTGAGTCAGTATGCTCACTTTTGTGCATTTGTGAATCTTGTCCTGCAATCCAATGCACCTGTCGATGCCGGGGTTGATATCTGAGTGCTTAACGGAGGTGTGGATTCGGACCAGGAGCACCTACCAGTGCGGGGAGGAAAGAACATAGACCGAACACCCATTAGGCCAGGGGGGGGGGTGTTGGGGGTGTCTCCCTATTCCAACACACACCGATGCACACCGTTCTCCATGTTCCTCTCTTGTTCTCGCCAAGCATTTGCATGCCCCCGTCCTGGCAAGTCGCCATGTCCACTGGGATGGTCACTTCCTCGCCGTTCACCATCATCGTCATGGTGGGGCACCTCATCCCGTTCGAACCCACCAGTTCCTCCGCACCAGTTCGAACCGCACGGAGGATTGGTCCCGTCATCGGCACACCGAGCAGGAGCAGGCCAAAGCCTTCGCCCCCGTCATCGCCTTCCTACGAACACCATGAAAAGCCTAAAGCCTTCGCCGCTCTGCGTCACGAACGTGCGACTCGCGGAACAGCGCGGGCGCGTCACGGCACGGGCTGAACGCGCCGGTGTTTCGGGGTCCGTCCGAACGGGGGGGTTACGGCCAAAGGAACGTCACACAGCTCTGCCACCTGTGGTGAAGCGGAAAAAACGTGCTGACTTCCATGGACTTCCTCACATGTCTCTCAATGATCCGTCTTTGGCAGAAGGTTCACATATAGTCACATGATCTATTTGGAAGCAGAAGCGTTCACCCAGTGTCGGACTTCGCCACTGCGGCCCCCATTGGAATCCGTTGGGAGTGCAGTCTGTCGGACTGCGCCCAAGCAGCTTTGTCTGGCAGTAGCTCGTGGCGGCAACTCGGCAATCCTGTCGTTCTTGTTGGGTCTTGTACTTTTGGCAATTGCCTGAAGCAAAGATCGGCCACTGCAACACCCCAGCACCAGGCCAGTTGGGGCGCCCCCCCCCCGCAGACGCACTGCAGGCCAAGATGTACACTCTGACGGACAGATCACATGCTTACGTGGATGGCATGGCCACTTGGAAGACAACTTTCCTTTACAAACAAGGGGTTTTCCAAGTCCATGGTGGGTGACCAGTGACAAGCAGTGTAAGACCGTCCGACGACCCCGCCGAATCGTCGAGTCCTATTCGAGCCTTCGAGCCGCATCCCCTGCTCGAAGCCAGACTCAGACTTGCTTAGAGGGAAGGTACAAGTAGACCCCTCGTCCTCTCCCATCATCCATCTGTTGAAGACCAACACCAATAATGGGATGTATAGGCTATGTGAAGCCTGGAATCTAGGACCTCTCAGTACTAAAAGGCAAGTGTTTCGCTCCAAAGTTCCTGCTGTCCTCTGCCATAAATCTGCTGCTTCGCGGCTGTTGTAGCATGGGGAGTCGCTGGTGGCCAAGGTGAGCGGGCACATAGTCTCTTGGTTCTGCGCAGCAAAGAAAGTCCGTCGCAGGCAAACGTTCCGTCGGTGCAATAAGAGAGCAGTTCTGTTGATGTCTGTTGCAGCTTACGAGGCTTCTTCTAACTGCTACTTGAGAGGAGGGAGACACGAAAGGTAGGACAGCGGGAAAAGAAGAGAACGCGAGAGGCAAGAACAAAAATGCAATGTTCGACATGGTGATTTATCCCGTCGGAGGCGACCTTTCGTAAATATATGTTCATATGCACTCTAAATGTTCAAACATATGCTCTCGAAATGTTCAAAAAGGTTCTTAGGAAAACAAACTTGCCCCATGGCTCAGATCATCGGTGAGCATTGAATCGGAGCATCATAGGATTTGAACTATCCTGAAACCATAAGAGGCTCACGAAGACGTTCCCCAGGAGAGAATTGACGTGCTTCACAAAACAAACTCTAGGTATGTATCCCCTCGGGGAACACCTTTCGTGATAGAATTTCATATGCACTCTTTCTGAATGTTCAAGAGGGTTTCAACTCTCCTGAAATCATGAGAGGCTCACGAAGACATTCTCCAGGAGAGAATTGAATTTAGAGGGGGGGGGTGTCTGTATTGAAAAATCAATTCCCAGGGGGCGGGGGGGGGGTTTGTTTTGAAAAATAAATTGGGGGGGGGGGGGGTTGAATTGAATTATCAATTATTAGACCCGGACGCGCCAACACTTGCTTCGCAAGACAAACTCAAGGTATCCCCAAAAGGTCTACCTTTCGTGACTACTACAATTTCCAGATTTGATCTCCCCAGTTTCTGGCTATCTGGGTTTGGCACCCATTTTTAATTTTGTTGCTCCCCCGGCATTCGAGGCACTCATTCTATCTTTGACCTTCCTCTTTTGATGCAATAGAGGGGGGGAATGACATCTGCGAGGTGGGCCATAGAGTTCTGAGCGATGTGATGTCTGCAAAACCGTGCAGCTTAGTCCGTGCTTTCCGACTCCAAAAGTGAAGAACATGTTAAACAGCGTGTTCGTTCGGTTGGATCCTCCTCCTTGATTCTAATACAATACCTGGATGCCAATATACATCCATCGTTGACAGAATCATGTAGAATCAGTGAATCAATCCGAACATCTTCTTGCTGGACCTTGATGGGTCCAGAAAGGCAAGCACGACGTCCGCAGACCTTCGGAACTTTCAACGGTATTGTACCATGACAGTGGCTGACAGTCAGGGTAGCAAAGGGCATGCGATGATAGTTCTCGATGGTATTGACACAGATGTGACATTTAATACTACTGTAATTACTTCATATGGTACTATCTTCACACCATATATATATAAAGGAGAGTGCACAAGAACAATTCTAGTTAATTAATTGTGTGTTTAGAGTCACGAACAAGTCATCAAATTAAATTATTATATACAGTAGTATATATATATATATATGTATATATGCATGTCTTCTCATATCTCTCGTGAGTTCGGTCTATGCCTAAAGGGTTCTAAAGGTATGGAGTTTGCTTTGAACAACTACTTTTGAGAACCAGCAAGTCTGGTATAAGGCCAACTCGTTGAAATTTGCTTTCTTAAATGCTTTCATTACATTATGCTGTTTAATGAAACCAATACAACCGAATTTATGAAACTTAAAAAAGACACATAAAAACAAATTAGCCCTGTGAACATTGTGACCAGGACATAAATTGTTCAATGTGTCATAATTAATTGTGTTCCTATTTTTTTGTAGTTCTTATATTTTTCTCGAAATGTATGAAACATTTTATGAGCCTTCTATGAAAAGATTATGAACAGTGGCATGACAATGTTTTGTGAATTCAGGACTGTTTGTAAATTGTAAAAAAGATATGATCCTTTTATGCCGGAATTTATGAACAGTTTACAAAGTGTAACAATTTACGGTTCTATAAAATCCAGCGTGATGCTTCTCAAAATATCTATGTTGAAGTGGTTTGTACCAACTTGCTGGGTCTCAAAACTACTTGTAGTACCTACAGAAGTAAAATGTCAACAGTGCTGATGGCTCCTTTCTTTTCCTCACCCTTCCTCCTCCGCATCCAACAGGCCAGTGGCACCATAGGCAAATAGCTATGTGTAACACACACCTTTTCACCAGCTTCGAAGGGAGGGCTTCACGCTTGGCTTCAATGGACCGCACGCGCGTGATGGCATCGCGCCTCCCAGCTGTTGACCGCCAACTTCACCTGGGTGCTGTTCAAGTTGGAGATGACATAATCATCGCCCCGGAACCTGTGCTTCGAAACATCGCCGAGTCGTCGGTGCGACCACGAGTCGCCGGGGGCGAGTGGACGGTGCGACCGGGAGTGTGAAAGCCTTTTGAGGTGTGCCTGCATGCCACATCGTTGTCCCTGGTACGAAGCACACAAGGATTGACACAGCTTGATTCTGTTCGCGTGAAGGCAGCAAACCCTGCGAAGTGGCCCTGCTGCGAAGTCACATGAAAACTACCCATTCAGCTTCGAGAAACCTTGACAGCCAAAAGAGATCATACAGTCACAAACCTTCAAGTATCTGCACAGCCTCTGGAGCCAGGTCCAGAGAAGCAGCCAACGAATGAGAGGCTCCGGTTGGGTATCCATGCCGCTTGATATCGCTTGATGCTTAGATCAACTCTGCTTCCACCCCACAACCGCAAAGCCGGACGGGACGTTGACTGTGAATATAGCTGGCTGGTTGTTGGAGGCCTCCTCCCCAAGTCTAATTCACACCAATGTCATGTCCAACGTCTATCTCTTGATGGATGAACCAACCCCTTCAGCAAAGCCAAGCCGAGCCTGGCTTTAGGTGTGGACCTCTCCTTCAGACCCTGACCGTGCATCACCAAAAATTTCATCAAGCGACACATCCAACAAGCTGGATTGAGCACAGAAGGGGCCGAAGCTGAAGCATTTGCGGCCATTAAAGACCACGGAGCCATTCACCTGGGTCCGGAGCCATTCATCTTCGATCAGCGGCTGTGGGTCGGTTCCCTGGTCAATTACAGAAACTGCAAGACATGAAGTCCTCAAAGAAGGTGCTTCTTCCAGAGGGTCGTGATATCCCCAAGAAGTAGTTGCCGCCTCCCTGCCTCCTGAAACACTTAGTGGTGTGGCTTTCCTATTTGCATGCTGGGATGGACTGCGGCACTGCGGCATGTGGCCTGCAGATGGTGCGAAGGCATCTCCTCAACCTATTTCCTACTTACCAAGCGAGCTGTGCCCCAAAGCTTAAAATTGACTCATTGCCTCTGCAAGCCTGCTGAGAACCCATCATTATCCCTTGATTCCTGCTTTCGGTCATTCAAACAACTCCTTGATGATGTCTTCCCTCGTCATCTTACTGCATATCTGCAGCGAATCTGTACTGAATCTGTACCGTCCCTTTGTCCCCCCACTCACCTCCATCTGACCCTGTCCTTCCACTTGCCGTGCACCCCCAGCCCCGTCTGCACCGTTTCGAACCGCGGTGCGCTCTGCGGATCGCCGCTGAAGCCTCAGCGGGTCGAGACTGAACCACGGAAAAGCGAAGCCCCGTGCGGGCGCCGCTGATTCGGGTTTTCGTTTTGTTGGTTTGGGAGGAGTTGGAAGGTGGAGGAAAAAGGGAATCAACACAACACAACAGGGAATTCAAGGTTCCCGAATGCCAAACCGTTGCGGTGGTTCCAATCCTCGGAAGCTTTTGGGGGTCTCGCCTCGCATCTTCTTGCCTCACGCGGCCGAGAGAGACCCCAACATCATGAGAACTCAGGAGAGGCTGTGGGTCTGTAGGTCATACGCTCGAGGCGCCCAAGTCATACCCACCGCTGGTCCTCACACGTAAACGTGGCACCGCTGTGGGTGCTCCCTCTTTCACGGGACATATGGGGACCAACCAGAAGATCAGAGAGGGAGGAAAGCTCACCAAAAAATGAACCGTCCCAAAATCCGGTGGCATGGGGGTTGCTACATGAGACCCATGACACTGGTGAAGGGGGTGAGGACGGCGGAATGCCTCTCGTCCAACAGTCTCACCGTCATGCGGCGACTGAACACCCAGGGACCGTCACGGATGTTTCTGCCCCTCCAGTGCCCCTGGTGGTCTTTTCCTTCCGGCCACAGCTCAGCTCGTGCCTGTAGATGCTGGTCTGGGTCTGTGCTGCAACTGGTGCCAAGAAGCTCCAGTTGCCCGCGTAGATGGTCCAGGGTCGGTTGTCTCCTGACGACAGGCTCCCTACTTCCACCTTCCGGATCAAAGCCGTAGCACAAGTTGAGCCCTTGGCAATACAAGCCCTGACCGGTGACCACCTGATTCCTCCCACCCAAGCATCACCAGTTGGTGATTTGGATCTGTTTCAGCACACCAAAGCCCTAATGTTGCTTGATGTCGATGTCTTCCAAGCATCACCCGTAATGTCCGGTGACTTTCCCGCGTTTTCACCACCAAAAGCTGAAGGCAACTGGAAGCCATAGCTGGCTCGGTCTCCTTCAGACCTCTTGTGATCTTCATCCAAGTCCTTCACCAATTGGTCGCCTCAGCGCCGTGCGGAAGGCTGCTGCTTCAGTCGGACTGACTTCTGCGGTACACGCGAAGGTCATGCACAAAGTCCTCCCCTGTACGTGTGACTGAGGCATGTTAGGGTATGTATGTCAGCGTCAAAGTATGTATGGCTGTGGTTCTTACCTCCCGGAAAAACTTGTATGTCTTGGTCTCTCATCACATCAGGAGATGATCAAAAATTGAAGACTGTCAGCAATCATGCTGCTCAACAATCAGAGCAGCTATCACTTGGAGGCACTCACTTGGAGGCACCTCCTGGCACAAAACCTCCAGCAGAAAACCTGGGCCGCATATAGTGGTCCCAGTGGTCCCAAAATAGATAGTGGCACGGTTTCCAAGACATTTTTAGTGGGGATCCACTTCTCTATCTCTTGGTGGTAAAAAAGGGACCTCCATTGCCCTCACACAGAGTTCGATCGAAGAGTTTTCGCAGCACGCGGTCTGCTGTCACTCTGCAGACG